GTTCCAATAGTACATACTCATGAACGTGTCGGCTGATTCAAACATGTCTCCCCGATGAGGATGTCCGTGACTGTAAAGGGTCTAGTGACTCTGATATTATGCATAGAGTGCATGAGCATCACAATGTAGTTAGTGGAGTCGCTGTAGATCATCGTGTATATAGTGTAGAATAGTGCGTGTGGTATAGTGACAACAATGGCCGGCGCGATAAGGCGCTATGACAAAGCAACTATTGCCACGTCCAATATATCACGGGCTACATGCGAGGGGAATCTCATCTCGAGCATTCTTCGTCACTTCACATCACGCCCTGAAAACTTGAAAACAACTTATAAAAGCCATATACCTGACTCTTGGAATGTCCCTATTTTCTAAACCTCCGATAGCCTATCCCTTTATAGTGGACTGGAGATCATACCCAGGCTAGTTGATTTGTTGGTATCGGTAACCTCCGATGAGAATATAGCTACTGCTATCTTATATGTGGTAAGGTCTCCCCACCTCCTTCTTCAAATCCATTTGATATTACACATTTACACAACTATGCGATCTATTTCTGGATCTTTCAGATATTCATTATGTGCTGATTGTGCTGATTCTACTGCTAGACAGGAAGTCCCTTCTTTCACAATTTGCCACCTTGATTTCAAACAAAGTACGAAGTACAACAGACGTTGAAGTGCGTCTGTCCAAAGTTGAACTTCAACAATGGTGGAATCAACCTTTCAGGGGTCTATCCATTCAAAGTATAGTCAAGGTTACTCTGCCGATGTGGACATCATTCGAGACCAGGAGTATCCTCTACTAAATGGTATAAGTGTCCGTCTGCCATCACTCTATTCATGCTGACCACTGTTCTACTAGGAACAACATACCTAGATTATGCTGGGACAACACCCTATGCCAAGTCCATGATCGAGTCTTTCTCGCGTGATCTTACATCTAATCTTTTTGGAAACCCTCATTCGATGTCTTTGTCGTCGCAGCTTTCTACACAAAGAACAGAAGACGTCCGAGTCCGCATATTGCGATTCTTTAATGCGGACCCGGATGAGTTCGACCTTGTCTTTGTGGCAAACGCAACTGCTGGCATCAAGCTAGTTGCGGACTCACTCCGGGACTCTGACCATCGAGGATTTTGGTATGGCTACCACATCGATGCTCATACCAGTCTCATTGGGGTACGAGAGTTGGCCGAAATGGGCTACCAGTGTTTCCAAAATGATGACGAGATGGAGGCTGAGATTTCAAAGCTGGCTAGTAACCAGTCCAAGGCGCCCAGACTGCTTGCCTACCCAGCCCAATCCAATATGAACGGCCGGCGCCTACCTATTCGATGGTGCGAGCAAGTCCGAGCCGCAGCAAATGAAAGCGGAGGGAATGTATACACCTTGCTTGACGCTGCGTCGCTGGTATCAACCGCTCCACTTGATCTGGGTCCGTCCTCATCTGCCCCAGACTTCATTGTCCTCAGCTTTTACAAAATCTTTGGGTTTCCCGATTTGGGTGCTTTGATTGTCCGCAAAAGTGCTGCGCGGGTCTTTGAGCGACGGAAGTATTTTGGCGGCGGCACCGTCGACATGGTCCTGGCCACTGGCGTGCAATGGCATGCGAAAAAAGAAACCTCTATCCATGAGCGGCTAGAGGATGGTACCCTCCCGTTTCATAATATCATAGCTCTGGACACAGCCTTAGATACGCACGAACGCTTATTCGGTTCGATGGCGAACATTTCGGCACATACCGGGTTCCTCGCAAAACAAGTCTATGATAGGCTTTCTTCATTGGTACATTTCAATGAGAGAAAAGTCTGTCAAATTTACCAATCGCACACCTCTGCATATGGCAACCCACATACCCAAGGTCCGATTATTGCATTCAATCTTTGCAATAGTCGCGGTGAATGGGTTCCTAAAACCGAGGTGGAAAAACTGGCTACGGTGCAAGATCTGCAGATACGCACTGGATCCGTTTGTAATCCAGGGGGAACTGCCTCGTCACTTGGGTGGACTGGACCGGAGCTTCGCCGGCATTACTCTGCGGGATTACGTTGTGGTGATAACCATGATGTTCTTGGAGGGCGACCAACAGGAATTTTGCGTGTCAGTATCGGTGCCACGACAAATATGAAGGATATAGACTCCTTGATCAACTTCATAGAGGAGTTTTACGTGGAGAAGATTCCACCCATAGTCGCCCTGGATCCTCTGGCAGAAGACGATGGGGTCGTTGCTCCTCATTTTTATGTTGAAAGCTTAGCAGTATTCCCAATCAAGAGTTGCGGTGCTTTCAAGATACCCGAGGGGAAACGTTGGGAAGTGAAGAAAGAGGGCCTAGCTTGGGATAGAGAATGGTGTTTGATTCATCAAGGGACTGGTGCAGCCCTGAGTCAGAAAAGGTATGCGTATCCAAGCAAAAACATCCGAATTTGTAAACTAATGATAGTAGATACCCTCGCATGTGTCTTCTACGACCCTCGATTGATATTGAAAGAGGAGTTCTCCGTATTACTTGTGGTGCAGTCGCGGCATCAGATCAAGTCAGCCTTGAGATTTCACTTGGCTGGGAGGACACAAGTCTCATCTCCACATCCTTCTGTCCGAGCTCGACCAAAAAACCCACAACAGTCTGCGGCGACCGAGTTTCTCTCCATGCCTACACATCCCCGGTGGTCTCGGCATTCTTCTCAGACTTCCTGGGCGTGCCCTGTACTCTCGCAAGATTCCCTACAAAGACCACCAACCGCTATTCACAGATGCAACGGACGCCTAATACGTGGAAGAACCGTTTCCGCAAGCTCATCATGCCAGGCTCATTCCCACCTGACTTCCCTCCTCCGGTACTTGAGGGTGGTCAGAGACTAATCACGTTATCCAACGAGTCGCCAATTCTAATTGTCTCACGTTCATCTGTCAACCGACTGAATGAGATCATCAAATCAAACGCCAAGAATGGCAACAATAAGACTGTTGCCGCGGACGTCTTCCGGGGTAACATTGTCGTTGCTGAACGACTTGCTCGCCGTGGGGATGTGGAACAACCATATGCGGAAGACCGGTGGTCATCTCTTCGAATTGGACCAGATCAACTTCGCTTCGATGCTCTTGATGCATGTGAGCGATGTCAAATGATTTGTATAGATCAGTTCACCGGCGTCCGACGCGCTGAGCCGTTTTCAACGCTTGCTAAGACGCGAAACATCGATGGGAAGGTCAAATTTGGCAGATATTCCGCACTTTCTCCAGAAGAACTAGAGGGCTTTGACTCGGAACTACCAGATCGCAGGACGGTGATGGTAGGGGATGTCGTTGTGCCCTTATATCAGGATGACTGAGTATTCGAATGCTCGTTTTCGGCATTATGTGATTTCGGCTCGTATTTCTTTTTGGACTTGGGTGTTTGATATGCCATTATATAATAATATGTACCTTGTATACAGCTGTACGTATCTCTTCGCTTATTATTTTCGGGAGGTTTGTCAATATATAGAAGTCTTGGCTTCTTAATCTGGTATTCAACAGTTGCCTAATAAACATTTTGAATTTGATGAACGCCAAAGTGATACCCATGATAGTACCTAAACAACCACAGTCGCAGTAGCCTTTTCTGGGGCTTTGGTGAAAGGCGCCGCAAAGCCATAGGTCTGGTAACCTTTGGAGTAATCTTTGCCGGCCTCACGCTCTAGAAGATATATATCAGCAACTCGGCCCTTAAACATTTGACATTCCAAAGAAAACTCACCATGCTCAGGTGGGAACATCTCCATGCGATGCTTGTAGTATTGCTCCCGAAGATCCTCCCCGTCACTCCTCGAGTGGAAGGTAGCATAAAGGCTCGACCGACTCTTATCGGTCTTGTTCTCAGCAGAGCGATGGGCGAGATGCGACCCAAAGATCAGCATATCACCCATTTCAAGTGGAATAGGAGTCCATGGGTGCGAGTGCTCCCATTCAGGCTTGATTCGGCCACCTGCCGCAAATTCAATTTGCATCTTGTGCGACCCGGGCACAACCTCCAGACATCCGTTTTCAGGCGTCGCAGCGTCAATGGCTATGTTGGCGGTGACATGTTCAATGCGACCGATGTGGTCGTAGGCTGGTGCATCGAGGTGCGCCTGGAAGCCGTTTCCCTGTGGCTGCTTGTAGTTGATCTTCTCCTTGAAGAGCAACATATCCTACAGTTAAGACCTTGATGTTAGTATAATCTCCTGATAGAGCTTCGGTATTGTGGACATGAACATACATCGCCTGAGACTGCCTTCAGAATCTCCGCCAGCTGCTCGCCGCAGACTAGTGACTTGAACTGAGGGTGGTATTCAATGAACCTTTCCGTGCGCATCAGCTGGCGTTCGCCCTTGATGTTGATTTCATCATAAGGCATCCATTTGCCCTTGACACGAGGCCAGGCCTGGATTTCTTGAGTCCATTGCTTGAGTTCCGTAGGATCAACGAGTTTATGCTCGTCGGCGCGTAGGAGGAGGTAACCATTCTCATGGTAAAAAACTATTTGTTCAGGTGTAAGAGGCGACATCTTTGAGTAATTTGTTCGAGACCACAGAAGTAGATAATGAGATGATGGAAGTGAGAATGCAGTAAACCTACGAGCTTTTAATAGTTTTTCGAAACGCGTCGACTTCTGTTCTTCAACAGCGGGGCCATTTCTCAATTAGTTCCAGATTGCGTTGGATGCGACTTGAGTGAAGGTGTTCGTCCCGACGCCAACCAGAAACCCATGGGATGCCGCACAGACCAACGGGCTTCGTGCCGAGACGAATGCGATTCGCTCATCCACGAATCTTTGAGGATATCGTGAGTTATTGGAGGGGCAAGTGAGAAGATCACCATGTGCACGTGCATAGACGGACTTCTTGCCTTTATTCGCGATTTAGCCCAATGCTACAGGACTTCTAATATGTCATCACACCCTAGGTACGACCAAGGGATCTATTTAAGACCATCGACAGATCATTTCTTGAGGAATAACCAAAAGTTTTCATCAAAATGAACATGAAAATGACAACCTCCAAGACCGAGCAACCTCTCGACTCGGTCGAGGAACACACCCGAGCAACGATCAAAACATTGTTCCAATTTCTGCATGCGCAGGGCCAGGGTGACTACCTCGGCGAGCAAGTAACTCAACTGGAACACTCGCTACAGTGTGCATATCTTGCCACCCAGTCCCCCGAGCATGGAAATGACCCCGAGGTCATTGTGGCTGCGCTTTTGCACGATGTCGGGCGATTCATCCCTGCGGCCGAGAAGATGGAGAAAATGATCACTCCCGACGGCCAGTATCTCGGAAGACAAAGCCATGAAGCTCTGGGAGAGTTCTACCTGCGCCAGATTGGTTTCAGTGAGAAGGTGTGTCAGCTGGTTGGTGCGCATGTAATGGCTAAGCGCTATTTGGTCGCGACGGATCAATGCTATTATGATGCATTGAGTGAGACCAGTAAGCGGACATTGAAGTTCCAGGTAGGTCACCTTTCCCTTATTCCATTCTCAATTTTGGGAGTATACTAATGACAATTAGGGTGGCGGGTACAATGACGAGCAGATCCAGGAGGCGCAAAAGGATCCCCTGCTTGAGGCAAAGCTTTCCGTCAGACGGTGGGATGATCTCGCGAAAAAGCCGAATTGGAAAGTCCCTGATCTGGAAACCTATGAGGAAATTGCCTATCAGTGTCTTATTGGTGAGTGCGATTGCGACCTTCTACAAACCCAATATAGATACTAAATACATACAGCCTCCCGGTCAAAGTTCACCCTACATTCGAAAGAATATCACCTGCCAACACAGCCCACAGTGGTGATCTGTGTTGATGGCTTCGATCCGGAATACTTGAAGTCTGGTATTGAGAGAGGCCTCCTGCCGACTTTCAAGAAATTCGTTGATGGAGGATTCCTTGCCACCGCTAAGAGTTGCATGCCCTCATTCACCAACCCGAACAATGTGTCCATCATTACAGGCGTGCCACCCTCGATACATGGAATTGCCGGAAACTTCTTCTTGGACCGAGAGACAGGCGAGACCAAGATGGTCACCGACGACTCCTTGCTTCGTGGATCAACAATACTGGAGCAGATGTTCCGGCGTGGTGTACGGGTGTCAGCCATAACCGCCAAAGACAAACTGCGCAAAATCCTTGCCCACGGCTTAAAGGGAGCTATCTGCTTTTCTTCGGAAAAGGCAGCGGATTGCACTCTGGACGAGAACGGGATTTCCGATGTGGAAAAGTGGCTTGGTCAGCCTGCGCCTAGCCAATATTCGGGCGATTTGTCTCTGTTTGTGCTTGACGCAGGCATCAAATTGCTGCAAGAGAAGAGATCGGACATTTTGTACTTGACATTGTCCGATTACGTTCAGCACAAGTATGAACCTGGCAGCAAGGAGGCTGACAATTTCATGGGAGCAATCGACGAGCGTTTGCAGAGCCTCGCAGCTCTAGCTCCTGTCATCGGTGTAACTGGTGACCATGGCATGAGCCAAAAGTCAAATGAGCTGGGAGAGCCCAACGTTCTCTTCCTGGAGGAAGTTCTCAATGCTGAGTTTGGACCGAATGCCTCCAGGGTTATCTGCCCCATCACGGATCCGTTCGTTCGACACCATGGTGCACTCGGGTCCTTTGTGCGCGTCTATCTCAAAGACATCACGCAACTCGGATCGATGATCTCATTCTGCGAGTCACTCCCAGATGTCGAGGTTGCTCTTAGCGGCGAAGATGCCGCCCAAAGATATGAGATGCCTTTGGACCGGGAGGGTGATATTGTGGTTATTTCCAAACCGCATGCCGTAATTGGCAGCTGCAAGGCGAATCATGATCTCTCAAACTTGAAAGACCACCCGTTACGGTCGCATGGAGGCCTAAGCGAGCAAGAGATCCCATTGATTATGTCAAAACCGGCGAACAATGAGAGCAAGGCTAAGGCGAAGGACTGGAGAAACTATGACGTGTTTGATCTTGTGCTCAACTGGTCAATCTGATATTTATCTATCTCGATGCGTGAGATCAAAGAGGAGGTTCCATCGACGTATTATAATGTAGCCACCAATCGTCAATATCAGGGAAGATAGTTTGAAAATCAAAGCTTGCCATGTTTTCCATCCAAATTGCATCGAAGACTGGGGGTTGTTCCTGGGCAGGAGACGGACGATACATTGTTTCGTGGGCTGTGTGAGCGGACATCTGGCATCTACTCGACAACCGTTCTAGGCCCTCGCTGATGACCACAAGGAGATGGTGTTTATGCATAGACTGAGTGATATCCCGAAGGGCAGCCACAGTGTCAGTGACCAGGGAAAGGATCTTGGTCGTATCAATTCTGACCATGAAGGCATACTTCGTAGCAACTTTGAGGAGAAAGACAACGGCGAAGGCGAGCATAGTGTCGAAATATAAAGGAAGCCCATTCATGAATGATCGAAATTCGGCATCAGAAACAATCATCCGAAGAATTGACATAGCTGACAATACGCCGGAATTGGCGATCTCCTCCAATTCAGGCGACATGTATTGAGGTGAGCTTTCTGATATCGGTACGCCACGAAAGGCGTGCGAGCAAAGGTATAGCTTTGCAAAATGATAGTGAAAACCCACACCCTTTTGCGGATAATTCCCGACATTCTGATTTGCTTTGAAGCTTTCGCTCCAATCTGCAAACCAGGTATCCAAAGAGATAGAGCATCGACGCAGTTGGGGCAGGGTCTGCGGTGCAATAGGGGTATCAACGTCCACCCCGAAGGTGTCAAAGACTCGACCCAGGATTGACCATTCCTTGACCTGGCTGATTAGTCTAGCATCATCTTCTGTGGCGTGTTCAGTTTCTAGTATTCGACTAGCCGACTCAATTATAAACCCTTCTCTGGACATCGGAGGTCGACCGTAGGCGATCGAAAAGTGGTGGTCGCATACATAGACGAGATAGTATAGCCGAGCTTGAAGATAGCCATCGCGGTCTCCTTTGAGGGCTTTGTAGATACCACTATGAAGATTAATGTCCGATGCAATGCGGACGGCTAGTTCCGTTAGCTTTAATCCACCGCAAGATTGCGGCCACATCACATACCATTCCCGATCAAGGCCCAAGAAAGTTCATGCAACCAAAACGCACCAACGCACAGGCCACGGATGTCATCTTCATTCATATGCCTTGAGAAAGTTTGGGCCGCGACAACGTTCTTGTATTCACCGTAGCAGGTTCCAAAGAGATGGCCGAGGGAATGAGAATGCAAAGCAGCCACGGTACAAACAGCCGCCGTTAACAGTGGGGATGCGATTCGAACCGAGTCCAAACTAATATGGTCGCCAAGAATACGATAGAGAAAATGATCAAGTCTGAGATGGTATGTTTCGAACAACGAAACGGCGTCGCGTAGTGAAATAAGTCCCGTAGATATCAAGTCTGGACGACGGGAAGTTGATGGATTGTTTGGTAGACCTGCCTTTCCACTTTCTGAGACGCAGGAGGCTGGGATGGAAGCTGGGCCACCTCGGGGATCCATTATCACTTCCCATGTCTGCGGTGGTTCATGGTTCTCTTTTGGCTGAGACGATTGACTTGAGGTGGAGATTTCCCCCGCGATAAATTTTTCATTAATAGCCTCAACCGGTGGGCTCAAAGAATTATCTTGTATTTCAGGCGCAGCTTGCACAGTTTGCAAAGCTTGAAACTCGGGCATGTCAACTTTGGCAGCAATCTTTGCAACAGCCTCTTCTAGCCGCCGCATCTTTTGCACCACGGCCCCTTTCCATCTAGATACTATCAGGAAATGCCGGTGCAAACGATTTGTCCGGACTTACGTGACATCGTCTTCCAGTAATGTCTGCAAGCTTCGGTTCACGCTGCAAGGGAGACCTCTCTTCTTGCACCGCGAGCATGGCATCTGACCCTCCCCCATATGACATTTGACCTTCCCCTGTCAGTTACTTGCTTTGTCATCTGCTTCAATAGGACCAACCTTTTGTTTTCGACATGCTACACAAGCAGTAATCTTGCGAGTAATATCGGGGGGCTTTCGATCGCCGAATGATTCTCGCAAAGCACTCACGGCCGGCGGAGACGGTAGTTCGATGTCCATAATGAGTGCCTAAATTGAAGTTGTGATAATGTTCTCGACTTTGCAGTGTTTGCATCAGATCCGATAAATTCTGACAAAGCACCAACCAGAATCCAGACAATTGAACATGACCTTTCCACGTCCGAATAACGTTGCGCACTTCGCACCGAAGATATAACTCACGGGGGAAACGGGGGAACAGCTGGCGGGATAAGGCCGGATCCACGTGGGGGCGATGGGGATTCCTGACTGGCCTCGCCGCACGGTCTATTTTAGCTGTGTATCCCCCGTGGCAGCTTGCACGTTGCTCATTGCATCTTTGCATTATTCATGACGACTGCGATGGCCGATAGGAAGTATATCGCAGAAAGGCTACCGGTGGTTCTCTCCGAGATGCTAATGTCTTGGCTATGCCTCCTATTATACGCAATGTGAAAGAAGTATATAACAGCACCATTCGCCAAAATCAACAATGTGTGCAAGGGAATCGCATTTTGTTTCACCTCGACCAATTCTACTCTCCTTAACCTCAAGAATCACTTGATTCGTTCCAATGGCATCGTTCGGAGCCAAATTGAGGTTTGTAGCCACTGCAGGCGTTGGATTCTTCGCAGATGGCTATCTTAACCTGACAATTGGACTTGGTGAGTGGCTTCAATTAATTCGATGAGGCCGAAGACTAATGTTACACAGTGGTCCCAATTCTGGGTTACCTATACTTCCAAGATGACAAGGTACCGTCAGTCGACAGCGACATCATGAAAGGTGGTCTGAGCCTGGGAATGGTAGTTGGCCAGCTTCTTTTTGGAGTTCTGAGTGATGTTTGTGGTCGCCACACCGTTTACGGCAAAGAACTCCTCCTCACCATATTTGGAACCCTATTGGTAGTCTTGCTGCCTTGGAACGGGATGTCGGCCCAGTCTGTGACGGCATGGGTTGCAATTTTTCGTGTTGTGACCGGAGTTGGAATTGGTGCTGGTAAGTCATTTTCCTTTGGAATAGAGGTATGGGTCTAACTCGAGGAAGATTATCCATTGTCTTCATCTTTGGCGGCAGAAAAGTCACCATTTGGCTCCCGTGCTATTCAAGTGTTGACTGTCTTCTCGAATATCGGCCTCGGCAATATTTCAGCCAGCATTGTGTTTCTGATCTTGCTTAAGGCATTCAAAGGGGCGATAGCCAACAACATAAGCCGTCTCGAATGGGTCTGGCGTTTGCTATTGGGCATTGGAATTGTGCCAGCATTGTTCACTCTTTATGCCCGGTTAACGATCACGGAGACAACACCTTACAAGCAATGTGAGAGTGCCTCGATCTTGTGCTTTGAAGATAGCTAATGCTGTTTAGATGTCTGCGATGACGCTGCTGGGCAGAAACGCACATTCAAGAAGCAGTGGGAAGAATTTCGCGAGTACTTCAGTCACTGGCAACATGCCAAAGTGCTGTTCGCAACATCAGCCTCCTGGTTCTTGTAGTAAGTTACGCGGTCTTGGAAAAAGAAAACTCCCCAAACTAACGCACACAGCGACATCGCATACTACGGTATCAATCTCAACCAGAGCATTATCCTGACAAGAATCGGTTATGCAAAGGGAGCAACACCATGGATCACCCTATATCACACTGCTGTGGGCAATATAATTATTCAGGTAGCAGGGTATCTCCCCGGATTCTACGTCGGAATATTCCTTCCTGATCGTATCGGTCGTGTGCGCCAACAATTCTGGACCAGTATCATGGTGTGCATACTTTATGCCATATGGGCTGGAATCAGCACACAGAGCGCACACACCCCGACAGCTGGCTTGATGGTTATCTTTGCCCTCTCGCAGTTTTTAATGACGGTTGGTCCCAACTGCACGACGTTCCTGCTTCCCGCCGAAGTGTTCCCAACACGTGTTCGAGGCACAGCACACGGCATATCTGCTGCTTCTGGAAAATGCGGTGCAATTCTAACTGCATTTGCTTTCGGCACTGTTGAAGATGCAATCGGCTTGGAGGGCGTCCTTGGTTTGTTCTCGGGGATCATGCTGCTCACTGCTCTTGTAACCTTGCTGATACCCGAGACCAAGAATCATACTCTTGAGGGTATTGAGAACAATGGGCTCTATAGAACACGCGAAGCTGTCACCGACCTTCCAACTAGTTGTATTACATATGTCAACGTTGAAGCTGGGAACGGGGAGGCAAAGACCAGCTTTGGAGATGATCAAGTTAAGAAGTTATCGGTATAGACAAATTAAGTGACTGTGGTCCTATATCACCGCTATAAGGAAAGAATGAATCAGTTCATTATTTCAAGAGCAAGTCAATCTCATTGAGCTATCATAAGCCTAGAAGAATAGCTATGTAGACATGTTGTACTATTCGTCCTCGAGGGCCTCTTGTGTGCTTCGCTATATTTCATCCAGTCTCTGTGTAGCGGTACCACTGTTGAAGCTGGCAAAGCTGAACGGCTTTGCCCGGGGCGTTGAGATAGCTTTCTTCAAATCAGAGTAAGAGCTCCGTCACGAAATTGAAGTCTTGTGGCCCAAGAACAGGGCCTTCCTCCCCTGGACCTGGGGGACGATTCTGGATTGCAACGAAGGGGAAGACCATGGGGTTCCCATCCATAACCTTTGACATTCCCACAACCGGGTTTGGTATTATATTCACATGCTGGGCAAAATAAGGTTGCTGAAGTTGTGCCGGCTGTCTGGTCAGTGGTGGCATATTTGGGGTTTGTGTCTGAAGGGACCGGATGTAATTCCGAGTTAGCGGGCGAGGAGCACCGCTCGGGGCTAACTGCCACTGCTCGAAAGAGATACAGTTATCCCTAAGAAGAATGAGAACGACCATTCTAACGTCGCCCCTGGAATCTACGAACCATTTCTGTGTATCTTGGCCCAGTCGTCCAAGCGATTCTGTAACACCTGTTTCAATAACAAGTATAGGGTAGCCAAAGTTTTGAATCGGCCGAGTATAACGAGAGGGGGGTACCAAGCCATTATCTGCTTCTTTACCCTTCCTAATCCCAGATTGGTAAGTTGTCGATCCGATCTAAGCCGATCCTTCCCGAGGGATACCTATAGCCTTGTAATAATCGCGAATCACTTCAACGAACTTATCTATGGCAATGTGATATTCTATTCTGGGTACGACCTTGATAAGGCCGGTAGAGCCCTCCCATTGAAATCGAAATGTGATTCCCCCAAGACCGCCGTGATCGCTTGTGAGTGCTTCGATTACCGGTGGTGACAGACCGAGCACCACAATCCACTGGTTGCCGTATTGATGCTCCTCAAACTAATCGAAAATGTGCTGTGCCTCTAGTCGCAGTCTTCTCAGTTCTGAGGAGGAGACTACATGCCCTGCAGGCAGGTCAGACATTAGTGTGAGGGCGGGATCCGACATCGTCTGTACTTCTGAAGTATTCCTAGATGTATATTGGAAAGTCGTCTGCTCATTGTGAGCCTTTGTCTGCAGTTGCCGCCTTTTTCCGCCGTCTACCTAGCAAACTCAAAAGAAAGGGGAGGAGATAGTTGAAAAGACAGGTAAGAAGACATGTAAAAAGACAACTCAAAAGACAGGTAAGAAGACATGTAAAAAGACAACTCAAAAGACACAACAAGGCCGTATAAGCGATTATTCCCTGCGACGGGGAGCAAGGGTACCGACAGCCCTGCCTGTGAAATAGGGTGAGAGCAAAGTCGTTCACTAGGAGTAGTTGTTAGAGAGGAGAACAAGAAAATTGAAGGTGTCAGGGATGCCTTACATAGCTACGGAGAGGTGGATCCATCCATGGATCACATGGCCGCTTAGTCATCATACTCTGGATCCCCACTACAATAACAATAGTTACGATCGTTCATTGTGAATAGCAAAACATCCCATCTTCTCCAAGCGCCCGGACAAGCCGAACAATTGATGAAAAGGAGTTCGCGTCGATCGGGGGTAGTGTAAGCCCAATGACACTGTGCAACGAGGCATGTGCAAGCACAGAGGCCAAGTCGCGAGGTCCAAATATTGGAATAATCATGACGTTCTGCAATGCAGAACATTCAGCGATTAAACTGAATAGAACAGATACTACACTTGATCTAAGCCAGAGGCAAAGAGAGCTGAAGAAGGAAGAAAAGAAGAGGAAGTTCTGGGGGCAGGGCCACCTTCTTATAGTTATCCTGACGGTCGGCTTCTGCCACTATTCACAAATGAGACAAACAACGACATATGCTCGCTTAATTAATCTGTAAACGTGATGATAACCACAATCACTGTTGATATCAGGGTGATACTATGCACTGCACTTGCTATAGACAATACTATAGGCGGTCAAACTTGCAAAATGTCAACTGGCATTGGCGTGTTTTGATTGGCTCAATAGTCTACCCCGCCTATGGGCCCGCTTAATATGGTGCATCACCTGATGACCTCAGAAGGATTACCTGGATTTCACATTTCGTATATTGGCCCTTGTCTTTAACCTCAGATTCCTGAAAATTGAGACATGGCAGACCACTCACATTCTCGCGAGGGGTCTGATGCTTCCCTCAACAATGCATCGATTGCTTCTCCGCGATCCAGCACCGAATCCCGCTCTCGAAATCCACTTCGCATTTCAGCAAACCACCAGCATAGACAAAGCTTGAGCGAGTCACTTCGCGGCCCGCCAGGTTCCCCCCGTGCACGCCGGCAGCCATCCCTCCCACAGTCGGCCATCCAGAGCCTTATCGATAATCCCCCGCCACCGAAGGCTAGCAACCCTGCCTTTGTTGGTCGTGATTGGAGAGAGATATCAGTTGGGGAGCTGGTCAGCCCGGGTGACCTGAAGTTTGTCGAGCTTGATACAGGCATTGAAGAGGCGACGAACGTGAGTACCTTACAAAGGCAGCATTCCCTGTCCTGACTAACATCCTCGTCCAACTAGATTTTGATTGATTCAGGTGGCGCTGTGCTGTTGATTCGCGAGACACCGGAATCCACTTCTGCCGTGGGCACATTCGACTATGCCGATCTCAATTCCTATCTCCTTCTAGCAGCAGGCCTGACACACCCGGACGAAGCACATCAAGCGTCATATGACGAGCTAGCCAAGAAAGCCCACAACGGCGTGCCTATTCCGTTAAGAGATGTGAAGAAGTTCGGTATGGAGAAGGAGCCGCTGATCAAGCTGCCAGCGTCGGCCAATGTCTTGGCGGCGGTTGAGATCTTTGGTGGTGGTGTTCACCGGGTTGTGGTTGTCAATGAGTCAAATGACCAAGAAGTGGTCGGAATCTTCAGCCAGTTCCGACTGGTCAAATTCCTTTGGGAAAATCGCCGCAGTTTCCCGATCATTGAAGAGCTCTACCCGAGGGCTCTAAATGAGCTGGTTATTGGATCTCAGGAAGTGATCTCCATCAAGTGAGTTATTTTGGTGATCTTTAGCGCTGTCTAACCGCTAATTCTTAATTTCAGTGGTGATAAACCCCTCTCTGATGCTCTCCATGTGATGAACAACGAGGGTATGTCCTCGATCGCGGTGGTTGACAACTATTTGAACGTGCTTGGGAATATCTCCACGGCGGATGTCAAGGTATGTGACGAGCTATCTTGGTTGGCAAGGTTTACTCACCATTTCGCAGCTCTTGACCCGATCATCTTCATTGCCACTTCTGCACAACACCTGTACCCACTTCATCTCGATCATTCTATCTACACGGGGGTTGATTGAGGGTAAAGACTCATTCCCGGTCTTCCACGTCAATCCTGGATCGACACTCGCTCACACAGTCGCAAAGATCGTGGCAACTCGATCGCATCGGTAACTACTGCAAACTTGAGATATAGACACAAGATGTACTGACTGCTTTAGACTCTGGGTGACCGATCCGTTATCTCCAACCTCATCAGGACCGCCAACTCCATCGCAGTCTTCTGTACACCTCCCTCTTTCCAACAGTATCAGCCCAGCTACCGGAGGTACTGCAAATTCAGAATCTTCTGAAGAAGCTGTGACATCTTATGCACAGCCCTCTCAATATGCCGCCCCTCACCTACCACCTCCTAACCCACCCTTCACGTACCCAGCCGTGCCGGTCTCAGTGCCATCACCCATCTCGCATTCTATTCCATCGTCCGCCCTAGACGGAGCCCGAGTTTCCGGACGCCTCGCCGGAGTAGTCAGCTTGACTGACATCCTGAACCTACATGCCCGAGCTAGCGGGCTGAACCCGGCCGACCCGGCTGACTCTCGTAGCCGCCGCCGACGCAGTAGTTCGTCGAGCCAGAGTGTCCGCCGCAGCGGTGACATTGGCCGGGAGCTTTTCAGCCGTGGCGGTATGTAAGAGCATATACTACGTTTTAATTTGGGCTCTATTGCAAAGCATGTTCTCTATTTTGAAACCAATATACGCAATCGCTCCGACGTGCCTGTTACAAGCCTAATGCTATTCAGCCCAACTAGATATGCTTATTTCCATGTTGTCACACTTCATCAGTCATACAAGATAGGAGGCAAGCGGATGGACCTTTGGACGTTGCCTAGCCTGTCATTCTCGTCTTTAGCAGTGGATATTATTTCCATTGTGGATCAGCATTACCAAACAACTTCAATTGACTATCTCCCTATGTAGTTCCTCACTTGCATTGTAGACTCAAATCTCGATTATCACGTCTGATTCTAGTCCCCGCCATATCAGATAAGCCAGATGAACCATCATCCATATCAAGCCAGGATCAACAATCATCGGGAAAAGCCGACCAAACCCACATCTCCACGACGATCAGGCAAATCCTCCAGCGTACGGACAAGAGTCGAATACTATCCACTAATCGCCATCACCCGGAGAACCATTTCCGGCATCCACAACGCAGTCTTATTGTGTCCCATCCAGAACTGTCCAGCGGCGCAAACACCACCACACACGCAATGCACATCCAGCAGCAACGGAGAAGACCGAGTCCAGACCAGCGTGCTTATTGGTCCTCGTATTTCGTCATGTAAGGCATTTCGCATTGGATTACGGTGCTTGATTATGATTCGGGTACAGGCGTCGATCAGCTGGAGGTCTCGAATTATGAGTGGATCGGAGGTAAGCGAGGGTGCATTTCCGCTTCCCACTGGCCCGTCAGATTTGAGCTACCCATCCTGTTGGGAAGGTGACAGGTCTGGAATCGCCGGATTGGGGGCCTTGGACTAACTAACTAGAAGATGTTCATGACTGTTTGGTTGAGATATAATTCTCAAGTATGTAGCACCAAGGAACAGTGATATCAATATCTCCTTGTGAGATAACAAGTCATACGATAAAACCAAAGCCAGGATCTGTACTGACTAGAAGGAATGAGCTTAGCCCAAATCCCGAAGATCCTCAGCTTAAAATCCGGGGACGATGTTCTCCCACTTGTCTAGGTGGCAACACCACATCCACAGTCAGCTCGTCTTGGTCTCGTCTGGACTCCTGGAGCCACTGATGCTCCACTGTGCACCGAGAGATCCGGACTGGGCGCTGATCATGGAGACACACCCTGGGGAATCTCCGGGTGAATTGGGGTTGTGATTCGGGGATATTATGGGGGTGTCTGATGATTGAGAAGGACTTGAAGGTATCTGTCTGGGTGGTTTAGAGAGGATGTTGCATGATCATGGCCTGGTCCAGGTCTGAAGTTGACATGATTCATAGCTGTCTATATTGAGGTACAGCTCGACTTGAAGTATGGATATAGTTTAGTAAGAAATGACTCAATCTAACTAATTGCACACGACGATAGCGCCATCCCAACTGAACCAATCTAGACTCCATATCTGATTGGCCTGAACAGAAGAAGAACATCTAGTCGCTAGAAATCACCTCAAACGTAGTACGTAAGCTGCAACAAGAGCGAACAGACGAGGCAAGTCCAGAATGCCCAACTCACGAATCATCCCTCCCAGAGCTATCACACCGGGGGCGGGGCGTCTATCACCAACCCATGGGCCTATCATCTACCTTGGAAGCCAACCCCAATCCCAATCTTACAATCTGACAGGCCACCCACTGGATCCCCAAGCCACCAACCCAGCGTCAAACGCAAGGGAAAAAGTAACCGCCAATCATGCTCCCACACATGTGCACGGGCCAGCGTTGCAGTCCCATCCAGCTGGAAACCGACAGCCCGTGGGTGGGTGCTGGACCTGGCCCCGTTGAAGCTGCACGGAGATCCCCCCCCCCTTTGCTCCACCAGGCGAGACGAGTTAGAGTTCCATTTGCTGGGTGTGCCGATAATACCCATGCCTCGACCGCGGGTACGCGGCCCTCGGACTTGGGGTTCGACCGTGGTAGAGGTGCTGATTGACTCTATACTGTCCATGGGTCAGTGCGGACGCTAGTTTGTTGTTGGCCAATTAACGTCCGGACTTTGCCTCAAGGCTGGGCACAGCTGCAACCTTAACCCCGCAATCTGGGATTCTGCAGGTGATTCTTTTCTTTTTTTTTTTTTTTTTTTTTTGCTCGTATAGTCGGTTACATACTTTGAGGGATTGGAATCTTGGCTTTGAGATCTGGGTATAGGAAATATATTCAAGTTGTGATATTTACCATTTATAGTACATAGATAGCATTGATATGGACTGGCAAGCCAAACGCACCACCCTGATAAAACAGAAGTAGAAATCGATAAGTCGATCCTGCACGATCGCCGTTGATCCGTAATCCCGGGAACGCAGGGGCACGGAGCACGAGACACTTGGAATTTCAATTTCAATTTCAATTCTTCAACACGAAATTCAAATTCCACACGGGGAGCTAGTTAACTCCATAACTACGCAGAAATATACAGGATATTTAACCACTAGGCCATACCAAAAATCAAGATATTCTATTCAGAGACCCTATCCGCTCTGTTTCTTGTTTTGCCAGAAACCCGCGGGGTCCGAAACAATCCTGAGATAGCACACGGGAACTGCCGAGACGCAAGATCAAGGGAATTGCAATGACAGAGATAGAGAAAGCAGGATTCCCTTTTCAAAAGTACCTATTTTCTATCTAGCACGCAAGGCCTGGCCTGAGATATACTGGGTCATGGTCCAGGGTCCGGGGTGGGAAACAGGGAATCGGGGATACTGTATTGTACTGTATTTTTGGTAATAATGGCAATAGTTGCTGCTATGATAAGTGAGTAGTATTAAGATAACTACCGTATCACACTCTACGCTAGCACAGTTGTACTAGTAGTTACTCTATCCCGTATAACCATATTCAATGAATAGCTGGTCATGAGTGACAGCATAGAAATTAAGCCGAGGGGTTCCACAGTTGAGGATGGTCTGATCGTTGGAATGACATTAGGTACGTAGGCGAGAACCTGGGCGGGTTTGTGTTAGACCCACGTAGTAAGGCTAGAGAATTACAATACTACGGAGTACCAAGGGTGCGGTTGGTGAAGTTGGATGCGGCATTTTCAAGGGAGAAAGTGCGTGGACACAAGAGTTAGGATTTAGGGAAAGCTAACACCAGACGCAATTCTGGTTTCTGGTTAAGAAGGATAAACGCAAAAAAAGTCATTCCATGTAATGTGGGACTGGGGAAAGCTATAGCTATAGCTACAGCTCTACTGGCACGGCCCGATGGAGTATAGAGTCTAGGACTAGGTTTTGCCCAGAAAAGAAAATGAGATGCCAATAATCGCGCAGTTATTAGGGATGGTGGAGCAGCCCCGGATTAGGACGCGGACTTGGCGAGGTTGTTTGCGGATGGATGCAACATTTGGGTATAGAACTAGGGCAATTAGGGATTAGGGAAATTAGGGAAATTTATGAAGAAGATAAGTGGTTGGATTTTGTCTCTTCATGTGTAGTATAGTAAAATTTAAATGGAAGAGCAATCGATACATACAGACATCAACCCTGACTCCAGTTCAGGATATTAAATGTAAGATACGAGAAGATAATAAAAAGATACAGCAAATGTGCAAAGCCACCCAATATACAGACAGACCCAACTCCGAAAGATCCAAAAGAAAAATAAGTACCTAGGTATCAGGTATCATAGATCATAATAGGCATGATAGACAGATGAAGTTAACAAGAGACGCTGGTGAAATCATCAAGAGCGAGAAGATCGTCAAAGGCAAAAGGCTGATCACGGTCGGAAAGCGGAACACTCGAGTTACCCAAGTGGAACGCAAACTGACTGAAATCCGTGAAATCAGGATCCATCTCCTCATGGGAGACCATAATGCCATCACTGTTGAACTTCGCACCGGGCGACATCGTAGCATGCGCTGTCGGCGATAGCGGGGTGTTGGGAGTGGGGCAGAAGTCCGGAGTAGACTGAGTGCCCGCTGATAAAGCCTCGATCCTGGGAGAGCTGAGACTGGAAGGAGCCATCTGCGAGTGGGAAAGGTTCGTGGTCTGAGTAAGCAGATTGAGTTTGTGCAAGTTGTTCGATGGATGGGACTGGCCGCGCGAATGACCGTGGGTAGGATGGTGGCCGGTGGGGCCTGAGATGGATGCTGAGGGAATCGGTGGAGCCGTGTGTTGCAGAGGCAACTCTGGTGCGGACGCAAGGCGATCCCGGAACTGATGCATTTGGGTCGCCGTGTCAGGCATTTGAGCCTGCTGCATCATTTGCTGCTGCCACATCTGCACGGCCTGCGCGTCGGTGGGCGTTTGTGCAGGGGTTGGGTTCTGCTGTTGCATGGGCGCCCATGCGGGTACTTGGGAGTTCCAGCCCGGGGCGGAGGCTTGTTGGCTCATGTAGGCTGGCATCTGCCCAGACTGGTTCCCTGTCGGTGCAGAGAACATGTCGGAGTATGGCGTCTGGGAACCGCTCATGCTGGCCATGTAGGACTGGGCACTCGGGTCGTACGACGCCGTAGGTGATAGGACATAGCCATCACCCGTTGGCATTGGGCTTGCCATTGAGCCTGGGCCCTGGGAGAAGGACGAGCGAATATTAGACAAATCCAAGCTCATCTTCCGTGGACCGCCATTGACTCCACTGAGTGATGGCCGCGGGGTCATGTGGCTGGCTCGCCGGCTGTGGATAGAGGAGTTGTTGAATTGAGCGCGTGCTGCAAAGGCGGCCAGTAGATGGTTTTTGAACTGCTCTTCAATTTGCTCGTTTTGGCGTTGCAGCATGAGAATCCGTTTTTCTTGATACCGTTCATCGACCTCTTCATACATGGCCTCTTTCTCCACGATATCCTTGGTGATGTGAAATGCCTTGCCCGTGCGCTTCTTATGCAACATAGAAGCCCGGTTGGCAGACTCCAGCCGAGCATCTAAGCTGCGATCCTTGCGCCGTGACGCAGCAATAAAGGCTCTGGGGAATGGTTAGGGTGCATGTTCTGCCCCTCCGTGATACGAGTTACATACCTCTCCTGGTTCTCCTCCCGCGAGCGGGGGATAGGCGTAATATCCTGGTCGAGATCTGGCAGCGGCATCCTGGACATGGTACCTAGTAGAGGAGGTGGATTTATGTAGGAAAGAGTGTTATCGCCTGGCCACCGGAGAAGAGGGGGACGGTAAGTTAAATACCAAAAAGGCTGAGGGGAAACCCGTCAGCGTTAAACCCAAGCTAAGGGCCAGAACCACGGATCCGAGCCGATCATAGTTTGGGCGCTTGGAAAACTTACGGCCGCTCGGTCCATGGTTGCCCCGTCCCTCTCCTCTAGGCTAGTCTGCTCGAGAGCGCCACTACGGAGGAGCCAAATACGAATGGGCGAGAGATGGTGCCACTCATGGCCCCTCTTCCCGGAGACTATTTCCTGCTTTTCCAGGTAAATAATATGCAGCATACCAGATGTGCAGTTATCAAATTAATTTTCCTTTCCAGATTAGCCCTGAAGGGTCTAGACCATTCGCTGTGAAGTGGGGCGTTACTCTACTCCAGACAGATCCCGATAGATGTGTTCTGATAGATGTGACTCTATCGGGGATCACTGCAGATCACTTTCCTGAAGCGTGGACTGTCATCTCCAGGGCGAAGTTTTTTTTCCCTGTGAGTGTCTTCGACATCACGAGAATCATACCACGTGATGGCCGGATTAGGAAGGCTTCAAAAGAAACCTGAAATTCAAGGCTACACCTACCTTGGAGAACATCAGATCTATGATAAGGTTACAGTACTTCGGATAACACCGATCACCTCTTGGCGAGTATAAGGCAATTGCTATTGACCGATGTTATTGACGCTTTATACGGAAACCCCTGGTTCAGGATCTGGACAGTACCAAGCGAAAATTACGAGGTTTCCATTGAATATGAAGTTCTCCTTCTTCCTTCCTAAATGGGGACTTCCTTGGCGTATCTCGGCGCACCTGCAGCGCTGGGCGGGTTGCCTTAGGCCCTAGGGCTCCCACATAGTACCTACCTAGTATAGCATTTCCAATTAGCGTAGCGTAATACCACTATGTGACCCTAATAGCCGCCGACGCATCAATTAACTGCCGGCATACTCCCGAAAGATCACCAGCAACTCATATAGGAAGGAGGTCTCAAATCAACCATAATTTGGTACAAAATACCTCGCTTAAGTCAATTGTCGCGAGGCGTAGAATCATCCATGGATATTAGCACAAACCAAAGCACGAAAGGCATAAACCAAACAGTCATGCCAGTTAAACATCATACATGATGTTCCGAGACATACCAATTGATCAGTCAATTGATCACCGTCACTAGCTGAAACATCCTACACAATACAAGATATGGGCTTATTCAATCCCTGCTCACTAGAACATCTCCCGATTCCTATTCCTCCTTTTGGCCTCGGACATATGTATTCTGCCGGATCTACCCTCATCTCATAGACAGCAACGCCATATTTAAAGCCCACGATATCGGGGGATTCGCCACCGGTCTAAAGCCGAGTTACCTAAGCTCACCCGGCCGAGACTAGGCCGCTTCAAGCCCTTCCAGATGTCCTCCCCGATGTCGCCACTGCACGCACAGTCCGATATCATCCGACCTCATTATTTCTCTACCAAGCCCTAGTTTGTCTGACGCTGATTGGCATGACACTTCACGAATTGGAGTTTTATCGTTAGCGATTAACTACTTTGCACTGGCCTATGAAGATATCCCAGTTTACAACGTAACTAGTGGGGTACCCGGTGATCACCCCGCTGATCGTCCATATCTATGTCCAACGGACAGAGGACAGGATGTGTATGTACGTACACGTATCCGTATCATCGCGACAGAGCACACATCCATGCATTGGCATGAAATCTCAACATGGGAGATCAAAATTAACCCTCAGGATCAATAGCCAATCCCCAGATTCCAGAAGCCTAGTTCAGAGATCTCGGAGAACGATCGGGGTCAGAAACTGCTCCATAGGAACCCCACACTAGCAGCCACAATATAAACCGACGACAGCTCATGCCGCACACTTCCGCCAGGACGAGTGGGAGGGCGCTGCGCTGAGATCTGCAGGCATACATGCCTAGAAGGGAATCTGTGGCTGGCTATATCATGGTGGCGGTGGCGCGAGCGCTGGAGCTATGCAGGGGGAATCTCGGCGGATTTGATTTTCTGTGGTTTCATGTTTTTTTTTTCTTTGATTCGGGGTGCATACGACGAACGTGTTTGGCACATGGGTTTTGGCGTTAGGGCTGATTCTTCATGTTCGGTGTTCGCGGTGGTTACTCGGCTAGGACCGTACTGGGAAACTTGATGCTGTAGGATAGAGTATAGCAAGGACATCGTGCTCTCATGGACGACAGGGATTGGTTCATTGGTATGTTCCTATTACTTTCATATGTGCATCATTGCGAACAATCAGTAAGTCTACCAAAAGCACATCGTCCCCTCGCCACGAAAGAAAACCATTGCAAATGAAATCTTGTTTATAAACAGCATGAATAGGTAAAAGACGCTAAGTTCTCAATGAGTGCAAAGCCAAGGGAAAAGGAGAGCAAACAAAGGTAGAGAAAGGCCCAAATCAGCCGATGATGCCGCGCAGATTAGACCATTCAACGGGGTGAATGCTAGATTGTCCGCTCAGGCAAACTCTCATCAGACAGATCTGGAGGCACAACAGCAGAATAAATTTCTGGGATCTGGCTTCTTACGCGATTCCCAGCGGCGGCACCATCCCCTGTTCCTCTCGGGCCTCGCCGCCAAGCTTGTAAGACACCTTGAATCGAATCTTGACCGAGTTGCCCTTCCCAGCATCAACTCCGTCGATGAGCATCTCCTGTTGGACACCATTTTGCTGCTGGGGTGCAATGTCTCGGCCTGATTGCGGCCGAAGCTGTAGCGTGTAGGACTAATTCATCGTCAGCAAACTCATCTAAAAACTGAACTACATTAGTGGCAAATAGCTTACCTTCTCTACAGCGACCTGGAAATGGAGATCTCCAATCCGCTGGCTGGTTGTGTTTGAAAATATAGCTACAACATGGATCTGGCGTGGCTGGGTCGGCACCCGGCGCGCAGCAAAGTCAACATGGAGCTGAGAGTTAAGGACTTGAATCTTATTGGTCGATGGAAGCGCATTGCTCGCTGGCAATGCGGATGCGAAATCCCACTCATCATCTTCCACTGGAGCGGCCTGCCGCGGCGGTTGAGGAGACGGACTCGTGCCTCCCATCAGGTCAAGCAATGACGACGGAGCGGGAGCAGGCTGGCTTTGCGCCGGCGGTTGAAAGGGACCAGATACTGCCCGTGGGCTAGCAGAGACGAGCGATGCAAATGGATCAGCCGCTGATGGCGGGGTCGCTCTGGACTGGGCTTGGGGCGAGACCCCCATGACGGGCGTGGGAGATTGAGAGACAGGTCGCGAACTGTTCAAAGAAGCAAGGATATCATAATTGGGTTTGAAGGCTGTTGGCGCATGCTGCTGAGGTTGTGATGTAACAGGCGGTGTTGGGCTTGCTGACATGGACGGGAAGTTCACTTTGGTATTGGTAAGTGATGGTGCTTTGGGGTATATTGCGCCGAGGTACTTACTGGAAGATCCGAGAGAGATACCACCTCCAGGGGAGGGAGTTTGTCCCCCTAATGAAAGACCGAGTAGGTCATTCTCCAATGAGCTCCCACCGTGGGATGGCCCGGCCTCGTTACCGTTGGAGCTGGGTTCAGGCTCCGGGTCGAAATCGATAAGAGAAAGCTCATTGTTCGCATTTGTTGAGACTCCAGTCGTAGTGCCCAGTGTACCCTTGGGAATCTGAGATGCAGCATCCAGATCACCCTTCTTAACTAGCTTATACCGCTCGATTGTGCGATGTATGCTGTCGTTGATCTCCAATAGCTTGTGGACGGCCTCGGGATCATCCGATTCTTCCTCGCACATTTTCTGGATTTTGGGGTGAGCGCTTTGCAAAGCACTCGCAAGTTCCTGGTAAGATCGTCAGAGACTTATCAACCGGCAAACAACACACGGGACGTTTTATCACCTACCTCGAAAACTTCGCCTTCTGGGAGAGGCTCCCCGGGCTTTTGATTCTGCAGCATCTCTTCCAGAATCTTGGCTTTGTGTTGCACCTTAACAACCTCCTCCGCAGCCTTTGCTCGATAATCGGTTTTATGCCGATTGTCGAATCCTGCCATGACCTTCATGAGCCGGTTCGCTTCCTGTAGATCGGCAGGAGTGCCTCTCCGAATCAACTCTTGGAGTTTGGCAGACTGTGCTTCCCTCTCTTCCTCTTCCATCTCATCTGCTGAGCGGAGATTCTAGCCAACGTTAATTCGACTCCGAAAATACCATGGGGGCCACATACATCACTTGGGTTCAAGACCGCAGCATCTTCTCGACGGACCTCCGGGAACATATATCCCTTATAAAGCAACAGACGGTGCATGTCCCGAATGAAACCTAGGTCATCCTTATAGCGCGATGTCTGGCAGATAGTCTGGCGCCATTCCTCGATCGACTCCAAAATGCGGTGTTGGACCCTGGAAGGCCGTATGGGTGGCCGCTCGGGGAACCTGCGAACCAATTCATTCAGAAACTCCTTCGTACCGATCTGGAGATGGAATGGATATCCGCAGTTCTTGACGGCAATATCGAGTAGCTAGAAACCGCGGTTGTCAGTCTCCCCCGCCTCGGCTGTCACTTGAGCTCACGTACCGCCAACGCCAACAATGCGACATTTTGATTTCGGGAATTGATGAGATGAACTATATCCAATGCGGCTTCTCGCGGCCTGAGAAGTGAATCAATGAGTGTGAGCCATACAACATTGGGTGTTTCGCTTACGCATTGCCTTTCTTGGAGTTGATTAGATCCGCAACTTCAAGGTTCAGGGCCAGGTTCGGTTCGTAGTTTTGAGGATCGCAGGCATTTCCTGTAGATAAGTATCAGTATGAATCATTTGTGTCACATTTATTTCAACACTGAACTCACGGATTGCCCGCTGCAACGGCGAAGCGCCTGGCTCAGCGTAGACCCCGAAGCGGTCCCTGGCCGCCATTCGTGCAGATGCAGCCTCCAGGATGGCGGTGGACGAGGAATGAGGAGGGGAAGTGTATTAGCCGGATAAAGAGGGAGGTACAGGAAAGTACAAGATTCTAGAGGAGATGTGTACAGTCGCGGACGGGGATGCGGGCGGAGAACCCGTTTAGACTGCACGTGTGGCGCTTGTGCTTGGCCTTGATCTTTTTTTTTCAATCACTAATTTACCACCAGGGAATACTTCAAGATACTCCAAGCAGAGTATTTGAAAATACTCTGGGATTTCGACCTCGTCATTCACCATGGTCCGCCACAAAAAAGACAACTTCGCGCGAGGAGGCAAGAAATTCAGCAACCCCCGCCCCCGAGTGCCCCGCGGTGATGAAGAAGTTGAGGGCGCAACCTCCTCGAGGCCTCCTTACAAGGCTGCCTGCTGGGATATGGGACACTGTGATCCTAAGCGATGCTCGGGGAAGCGATTGATGAGGCTCGGTCTGATGCGGGAGCTTCACATAGGCCAGCGGCACCCCGGCGTGATTGTCTCGTATGTTTCGCAGTTTCTCAGTGCTTTTTTGGTTATCTTAGCTTGCATGCTGACGATCGACTAGTCCAAATGCCAAGCGAATTATCTCTCCCGCAGACAAGGATATCATGGAGCAGCACGGTGCTGCCGTGGTGGAATGCTCCTGGGTGCGAGTCAAGGAAGTGCCATGGTCACGGATCGGCGGAAAATGCGAACGACTTCGTATGTGATAAGAATTGGGCAATGATGAACTGGATTCATGGGATGCTTACTATACATAGTTCCCTACCTTATCGCCGCCAACACGGTTAACTACGGCAAACCATGGCGTCTGAACTGCGTCGAAGCGCTCGCCGCTTGCTTCGCCATCTGCGGTCGCTTAGAATGGGCGGAAGATCTACTCAGACATTTCAGCTATGGGCCAACTTTCTTGGAAATTAATCAAGAACTTCTGGCGCGCTATGCCGCCTGCGAAACAGAAGAGGATGTGAAGAGGACGGAAGAGGAATGGCTAACCAAGATCGAACGCGAATACGAAGATAGTCGCGTCGATGGAGGTGATGATGTTTGGACCAAAGGAAACACCAATCGTCTGCCCGCACGAACTGATGAGGACGAGGACGACGAAAGCGGAGACGAAGATGACCAAAATGCGGGCAGTGACGAAGAGGAAGATGAGGACAAGGATCCATTCGCGATTTCAGATGATTCCGAAGACGAAGAGCAAATGGCCGAGATCCGCCGCAAGATTCTCAATTCTAAAGCGTTCAAGAATCCGGAAGAGGAGGAAAAACAGCAGCCGGAGAAGATTTCTCGGCCGGAGCAGCTATACGTCGACTCAGATGCTGAGTCCGGCTCAGAAGGAAGCGAGGACGAGGCATTCGACAATATCATTAATGCGACGACGGTCACTGACCGCACGGGAATCAAAGCGATTCAGCAGCGGAAAGGGAGCGAGACTGTCTCTGCCTCGTTCTCTCGGGCGGAGATTTCTGCCCCGAAGAAATGGTGAAAGTGAGGCTTATTGTACATCAATTGCCCATCCACTTAACGAGTCTTGGTTAGCTTCTTGCTCTGAGAGCTAGCACCATTTTCTGGAGTCTCTTGGTGATTTCTCCCCTGGCAACGCACATAGACAGCTTTATTGCTTTGCGAGTACTGCCATAGCAAGTGCACTTGATTCTTCAAATTGAGTCCGGCATTCTGCTGTGTAGTATTGCCACGTGCTATCTCGCCGTTGGGATGGTTTCATTTCTCTGAAAGTGCGCCTCGGTAATCCACGAGATCACCAAGTTTTCTTTACGCGACCTATGCAACTATATCCGCTCCTTCAAATACTATGTGTCATGACTCATTACAACGATATCTGCTTTACTTTGTACTCGGCGAGCGACGGACCATATTCACCGGAAAGGGAAAAGAATCAAGTATCATCCATGGCTGGCACATATCAAATTCACTATTTTCTTCCAAGGTTGGTTTAGTTCCTAAAATCATAGTGTGTGGTCTCAAAGGACATAGTCGTGCCTTCCCGGCCAAATTTGGAATCGGAGCAAGATCACCAATATAACCTTGCAAGACCCTCAGATCAACTCACAGAAATCACCACACTCAAGACTCACAAGAACTTGTCAACTCACTTAAACAAATCTAATAATATTTCTCACTCACTGGAGCGACACCTGTCCACCAAACACTGAACCCAGCCCATATCAACGAATTAGACGTGACGGCCATCGTTGAGCTCAACGGGCAAAACAGAAAGATGGCACGGAAAAAGAACAGCATGAACCGCTTACTGCCCAAAGAGCCGAAATGGACAGAATCTGCAGTTAATCCGCAATGCATGATTAATGACATCGGGATATCGAAGGAACCCACGTCATCGCAGCAGGACAACACGATTAAGAAGTACGAGGAAAAAAATTCACGGCTAAAACATGGGATGAAGGAGCAGGAGAACACCATCCACAACCTTGTACGGCACCACAAAGAAACCGTGGGCCAGTTTGATTATAACATGGCAAGGATGGCATACCAGCTCCAGAAACAGGCAAAGATGATCACCGACCTTGAGTGGCAGAAAGGAATGCTGCTTCGGAATCTCGAGGAACAGACCAGAATATCGTATGCACTAGGACAGCAAGATACGAAGACGAGGGAAGTCTTCGGTAACATTTCCAGCACGATGTTCTTGGAGTTCGATAGACAGAAAGGCATAATTGACGAAAAAACGAGCGCTATCCTCGAACTTGAAGCACAGAAACGAAAACTCGCTGGCGATCTTGAGCTACAAAATGGAAAGATCGCTTTGGTGCTTGAATATCTCACAAAAAACAGTGAAGAATGTGCCTCTCTCTGGGACTAGGACAGAAGAGGAGAAGATGTACCCGATGATAAGGGCAGCATTGAATGCCTGTGGGGAGAGCGATGCTAACGACATGAGCCGAACTAGTCGTTTACTGAAGAATATCAGACTTGTCGAATGCGAATCTCATGTCACGGAGGGATCCCGGAGTAAGCCAGCATGTTTATTCTGATCCTATCGTCTCAGCCTAATGCTGGTATGATATAGAACCGACCACAGACAATCGAATCGAACAAAGATGGAGGATTTGCAGTTCAACATGTCCGTGTCTATTATAATTCAAGCGAGTGATAGTTGTTTGTCTCCGATTGTATTCTATCCCACCCTCATCACCCTTGAAATCCAGTCTCTCCTTGATAAGTGAGCTCACTTCACTCTATTGAAACAAGAGTTCTTCCGTCTTTACACATAACAACCCTCAATGGCTCTCGTATATATTGCTCTATTGCTAAGCAAAGCCTTTTTTTTCTTCGTCAATAGGCCTTTTTCTCTGCAAAACCGACGCTGAAATATTCATTCTCTTTTTTCCACTAAATCAAAAGTAGATTCAACAAAGAATTACATTCAACATCCGTGTCACTTTTTGCTACCCAGCCTAACCATTTTATAATCATGTTATACCCCAAATCAAGATTCCAAGCTCAAATGCTTCTCACTGCCGTTGCTTTCCGCAGAAACTGACGCTATGGTGCCGATGACATCGCGGGCAATCGACTGCATGATGTTTGGGCCAAGAATGCGTTAACGAGTGTGAAGAAGTGAGGCAGATGAACGGGTTTATGTCTGTGTAGACCGGACGAATGGGAGCTCGACTAGGTCGATACTTCCGACGGGGAGTGTATCTAAGGGCGTTTCGATGTTGAGATGATGATGATGATGAGGCGGGTGAAATTGTCGAAGGCATTGTTGGAACCTCCTCGGCTGCTATAAATTAGGATTAGTCTCGCTCTGTAGATTCGTTCACATGCGACTTGCCTGCTCAAGTCTTGCTTTGTGCCGCTAATGAATTATACAATCTGATTTATCGGCTCAAGATGTGAAGTTGGTTAGGCTTGTGTTTCTCTTGCTGGGACAATCATAATAAAGACCTTGGTGGGACGTCTAGGAAACGAAGACCTAGATCATGCAAGGGCTAAAATGAAATCTTTTTCTGAAAATTGAACCGGATATGCAAGGTATTCACGGGATCATGATCTATGCAATATATATCAACGTTGTACTCCGTATACATGTCTGTCTGAGATAATCTAGACAAGAAAGTTGATTATTGAGTCATTGCTATTGTGTTAGTTATCACTCCCCATATAATATTTGTTTCCTATATCAAAGGGGCATTTCGATATGGTAAATTAAGACAAAGAAAGGCATATATATCTGCATTGTTCAACAGGGATTATCGGTGAGGCACTACTGGATCGAGGGATTCAATAGAATATTATGAGTATCTCAGTGCTCGTTTAGCGGCATAGATAATTGAAAACCCAGAACTATCCATTCTAGGCTATAAAAGACTAAATCTATATATATATATCTAGGTCTAATGCACATGAAGATTAATATTATCCAAGACATCGTTCACTTATAAAACCGTTCTATAAAAGCACTGAACCCCGCGATGGCGGGGCAAAAGCGCCTCCAAGGTCATAGATATCAGCTCCCATTTAGCAATTATCTTTTACACGACCTCGTATTTAAAAAAAATAGATAGAATAAATATCAATAATCTACTTCTCATTTGAGCTAGTACACGTGGCGGGTGAAGCTCAAACTCACCGGGTGGAAATCCTTTCCACTTTTCCCACAATCCCGCAATCCACTTTCAGCAACCCTTAGGACACCCTCGAACATAGGCCAAAATGCCCGATAAAGACTCCAGCACACCCCGTGTCTTCCTCTACCGACACGGTATGTTCCAGAACGTCAATATCTTCTTTCCGTAGTCTGACTATAGTCTAGGGCAGACGGAATGGTCCAAGAACGGACGGTACACCGGAATCACGGAGCTTGAGCTCACTCAAGATGGTGTCAACCAAGTCAATGCATCTGGCAAGATGATCGTCGGATCTGGCAAATTGATTGACCCGGCCAAACTTGCGCATGTTTACATCAGTCCTCGCAGGCGAGCGATTCAGACGTTCGAGATTGCTTTCTCTGATGCCGATAAGCAGGCGCTTAATGATGCGCATAAGGTCTCTGAGACAGACAGACTCGCCGAGTGGGACTACGGTTTGTATGAAGGTCTGTTGACTAAGGAAATCCGAGCCCTGAGAAAGGAGCACGGTCTGGATACCGAGAGCGAGTGGGATATCTGGAGAGACGGCTGCGAAAATGGAGAGTAAGTCTTTTCCAAAAAGAAATCCTTTCGAATTATATCCAGTCGCCTACGATCGAGTATACCTGACAGGTCAATACAGGTCTGCGCAACAGGTGACAGACCGTCTTGATAATCTCATTCGAGAGATTCGCGCGATCCAGAAGGACAATATGCACGGAGAGAATCCTTCTGATATCCTGCTGGTTGCACACGGACATTTGCTCCGTGCCTTTACCAAGCGCTGGTTGGGATATCCTATGGAGTTCCCTCTTTCTCTGATGCTCGACCCCGGCGCTGTTGGCGTCCTCAGGTAATTCCTTTTTCTCCCACTTCGCTGGCCTGGCAGTTGACCTTTATTTCTACTTGCAGTTATCAGCACCATAGCATTGGTGAGCCTGCTATGTTGGTCGGATACGGATTTCCGTTGCAGGAATGATCTGATATGTCTGGATAATAGATCTCATAGAAGGTAACCAGGTTGTTACTAAATATAGACTTGATACATGGTGAAGATTCAATGGAGATTCTGGCCTTAGTATTCGAGATAATTGTAGGCTCTCCTCCGGGGGCCGTAGAGCATTCATAGTCTAATTTCAGTCCGTCCAATTTTTCCTCGAGGGCTGTAGTAAATGGGATGAATATTGTATGAGATCATGTAAATAGACGAAAATGGAATATTCACCCACATGACTGGAAAACAGAACTTCATATCTTCAGAGTCTCTAAAATCCTCTACTGAAATCGCCTCGAGGCTATACTTCAGATCACCAGGTTCATCAAGTCATGAAGTTCACCAAGTTCATCAGAAGTTCGGCAATGCCCCGTTCGCCTGACCTGACCAACTGACAACTGATATGACCCTGCCCCTGTCACCCCCCTAAATGTTGTGTATTCACTTCAAATATGACACCAATACGAGTGTCGTCAAAGGCAGACAAGATCAGGTGGGAATAGAGGCTCTTGGCTGAAGAGCACCCCGGATGGCACTAACGGGGGCCCTATATGATCGCCTCACCCCTGATGAGTTTCTTTTATTTCTTCGCAACTTTACGCCCTGACATGTGCTTTTCGGGGATTTTTCTCGAGATTAATTCCACTACTATTCTATCATAGAAGCCTTCAATCTTGAAACTGGCAAGGTCGCCAATATCATGCCTCACAAATCAGACGAGTTGTCGGTCGCTGAGGCCGAAAAGGAGGTCCATGAGGCAGCAACTCCCACGTCTCCAACACCAGCACAAGAAAAACGCGGTTCGACCTTGATAAGTTTCTTCTCGTCTTTTCTTGGTCCCAAGAACCCGCTCGCACAACCAGCAGAGCCACACAAGCAGACCGTATGGCTGCTAGACAATACAGCGTACCAGCCGGTAAATGAGGATGCCGACGAGAATCATCTGTGCTGGCACGCCGAAGTAGTCGCCTATATCTTCGAAACAGAAGGGCGGAAAGACGCGGGCAATCTCGTCGCCGCGATCGCCGACCATATCGGGCTGGACGGCGAGGTGGGCAATCACGACGAAGCACGCCAACGCATCGCAGAGCGCGTCCAGCCCTTCCTTGACCAGGTGTCGCCAGCGCGCACAGTCATGCTGCATGTACCCATATCGCCACGGGCGCAGTCGCACGGACTGGGCCCGTCCGACCGCAACGGCATCGTCAGCCAAACGGTTGATATGGGCGAAGTGGGCATGTACGACGGGGAATTTGTGCAGCCGCGGCTGCAGGATTTCGGCGACGAGGCTGTGTCGATGAACACAACCTTTGCCGCGCCTGAGGGCTGGCTGGTCGTCTCGGATATTGACGATACTATCAAGCGTACTATGACGCCTGAGCCGACGGGAGTGATTCGCACAACGTTTGCGGATATCCCTGAGCCTATCGCTGGTATGCCGGAGTTCTATGAATATGTTCATGCCGAGCTATTTCCTGCGTGGTTTTATCTCTCCGCGTCGCCGCATAATCTTTACCCTTTCCTACATGACTTCCTGGATGAACACTACTCCCCGGGCACGCTGGTGTTGCGCGATTACTCGTGGATGGATATCACGGGGCTTATCAAGTCGCTTACCGAGCAGACGCAGGAGTACAAGCTTGATCGGCTGGAGAAGATTCGGGGGTGGTTCCCGCGTCGGAGGGTGCTTTGTATAGGGGACTCGACGCAGAAGGATCCAGAGGCTTATGCGGAGATGTATAGTCGGTATCCCGAATGGATTCACGCTATCATTATTCGCAAGGTCAAGGATGTGGCAGGTATGGAAGAGAAGAATGAACCGGGGAGGTTTGAGAAGGCGTTTGAGTATGTGCCATCACATATTTGGACGGTCTTTGAGGATCCAAAGGAGTTGTATAATTTTGTTGACGGGCTGGGTATGGAGGACCAGGCCTTATAGATGTTATAACCTGTGTATATTTAATTGGATTGGCTATTTCGAACTTTTCAAACAGCACCCTCGTGACATGCAAGGGAATAACGGTCTTTGCTTAGTTTCATGACAAAAACAAAGACAACCTTTACTACAACTATCAAACAGATAGACTATGATTTCCACCGTACCTTTGAGGATGCAAGCAGCGATCTGTCGACCCATTGATTTTCTTCTACCGCACTATCCATCTTCCATGAATCCCAGACTCTATACACAATATTTTCTTGCCAAACCAAACCAAATCAAATAGAAATATAAGATCGAATTGCTGTTTATTGCAATGGAATTGTTCGGGATTGTCAAGTGGCGATGTTGACTTAGCCCTACCTACGTCACGATTAGGAAATGGCCTCTGATCTATAGACGAAATGGCAAAAGAGAAGACCCTACTTCCAAATCCATAACTTCCTTATGAGAAACCATTGTGAAGTCTCAAAGACCTTTAAACTAAGAAGATGTATCAAGATCCAAATGATACTATGCAGTCAGACATACCCCCCACGCAGCCCATCGTGGAACACTCCCCAAAGCGTCTATCAGAGTCCTCAACACGCTCCCCAAAAGACATTAAGCCGCCATCTGAGCCCTCAAAACGCGCATCAGGAGCAACAAGAGGCACCTCAGAAGCCATAAAAACCCCTTCACATGCTGGAAAGCTCAGCTCATCAACGCTGAACGACTCACCATTCACACCACTGTCAATGCGAGCCCTCTACTTCACCCCAGACGGATTAGACAACGACACATCCGATGGAGTCCCGGAAGGAGAAATCAGCGACGCCATCTCCCCCGACACAGGAAGTAGCGTCGTGCGCCAGAAAGGAACAAACATCGTCTTCGACGCTGGGTTCCCGACCCCGCAGCCCTCCCCTCAGCAATACCTGCTGAAGATCGCCACAGCAGCTTTCTGTCACGACGAGATCCGTCTCGCCAGACTCCTTAACCCCCCAAAGACCACGCCGCATATCCCGCTGCACAGTCTCTGCGGGACAGTCATCAGCACGCCGCGCGACGACGAGGGGCGGGAAGAAGGCCCGAAGTTCAAAATTGGTGACGTAGTCTTCGGCGTGGTGAGCTATACGCGTGATGGCGGAGCTGCAGACTACGCAGTCGCGACTGAGACCGAGCTAGCGCTGAAACCGGATAATATCACTTTTGCTGAGGCGGCGGCACTTGCGCTGCCGGCGTTGACGGCTTGGCAGGCACTTTTTCGGTATGCCGGGCTTGATCCCGACTTGCCTGGCGGGTTGGGCGAGGGCGATGATGAGTTTGCGAATGGGACGGGGCGGTGGCTTTGGCAGCGTCAACGCCGTGAGTCCGTGCTCGGTAGCAGGGAACATGGCTACGGACGCCGCAAAAGCAGTAATGGCGGCCTGTTAAATCATACTATAAGTGGTAATGGTAACGGAAATGGCAACGGAAGTGGGAACGGGCATTGGGTTTGGCAATGGAATCGCGGCGGCCCCAAAACAAGTGCCAGTGGCAGCGTCAGCGGCAACGGCAACGGTTCCGACATTGACAACATCCCTCCAGCTGCTAGAGCGGTCAATCCCGCCCCCAGTCCTAGGAATGTGCGTCGCGAGAGCCTAATCAGTCTCGTCAGCGGGAATCCCAGTGGCAAGAAAACCGTTGCTCGCGCTGCCAGCACAGTTGACCCCAATCCCAAGAGTACTGTCCGCCGCAACAGTCTGATCAGCCTGATCACGGGCAACACCGACGCTCCATCCTCTCGCGCTGCGAGCACAGTCGATCCCACAGCTAATCCCGATGCCAATAGCAAACCCCGCCGCGGCAGCTCTAGCCCGAGACGGCGCAGCAGCCTGCTAGGAAGCATAATTGGCACTAATTCAAACGGCAACGGGAAGCCAAAACCGCCTATTATCCGAGTACTCATCACCAACGCCCGTGACAATGACATCGGCCGTATCGCAGTGCAGATCCTGCGAGCAGATTCGCTCTTCCCCATAGCGTTCCGGCCGTGGGTCTGTGTAACCTGCACGCAAGTCGAAGCCGATATCATCGAGAAGGACTGGGAGGTGGACGAGATAGTCATCATCCCGCACCTCCCGTCGCCGGAAGAGTGTAATATCGAGAAGGTGTTCCGCACGCGCCGCTGGGAGCCGGTTGATATCGTACTCGACTGTGCTGGTGGCGAAGTATTCCGAGCTGCCCATGCTGCCGGTGTCGTTAAGGACCATGGGGCTGTGTTGACTGTCGTGGATGGCCAGGTTGCGCTGCAGTCTCCACTTGTTCCTGAGAAGGATGTGCTGGGCGAGAAGAAGCGTGGGATTAAAAGCCGGTTTGTGCCTGTTAATCCTGATGGGCCGGCTCTGGAGCGGATTGCGGAGCTGGTGGAGCAGAGTCTGGTCCGTGGGAGGGAGGTTACTATTGTTGATCTTCCGCATGCTGTGGATCTTTTGGCTTCTGGGGCTGCTGGGACGGCGGGGAGTCGGCGCGGTGGGATGGTGGTTGTTAGGGTTAATAGTGTTGCGTTCACGTAGATTGTCATGTTTATGCATTTTAATACAGAGATATCAAAAGTAAGCACGTCACAGGGAGCAATGATGTCGAAAGCAACCTATGGTTGTCTATCAATTGGAAAAGTGTTGGGCCACTTACTTGGTTGGGCCAAATATCACTTTCGCAATGCCCATGTCCCAAAAGCCAAGTCCAAGAAAAGAAGAAGGGAAAACAAGGGGTGATGTAAATCAAAGTTAATGAAATATTCCATACAAGAATAAGTTTTGACCCGATGACTGCATATGAAAGAAAAAGAAAGCGACGCTCTGCCCCATCCCACAAGATCAAACTACATGAACAGAAGAAGAAACCGAAGTTTTGTGGCCGAGGTGGAAGGCAAGTGAGAGAGAGAAGGCGCAAAAAAGAAGTCGTGAAGAACAAAAGACAAGTGTATTAGTACCTCCGTTAGAGTAAAGAGTCAAGTCTGGTAAAAACGCTCAAGCATGCGGCGACAATCTGTTTACTTGTTAGCACATTCAAGTGTTGAACGCGGTATGAGGTGCAGCTTACCTCCATCTGTAGCTCTTTATCCTTGTTCCGATTGATCTCCTCGTTGATCACTTGAGCTAAATTGGCTCCAATGGCCTGGGAACCTCCGGCCTTCCTGCCAAACGGCCATTGCGAATACTCTGCTAGCAATTCATCCACCTGCGCGAAAGCTCTCTCGCGAGCCTCGTGGCTCATGGTGACCAAAGCGTTCTCGAGGACGTTTGCGGCGTATGCGGCGCAGACCATGGTGATTGAGCGAAGGTATCGGTATTCTGCGTCTTCGGGGAGCCATGGGCTAGGAGGGATAATCACAGTGCGGTTACTGCAAATGTTGCGCACCCGTCGGTGGAGCTCGTCTTTCGCGCCGCCGTCGGCCACAGGATGCGTCGCCATATCGAAGAGAAGGAAGTTGCGCTTTTCGGTTCGGAGAATACCCTTGTCCACAAGACCCTTGGCTAGTCGTTCCCGGACTTGCTTCAATTGATATCCAATCTTCATCAGGTTCCAGGTTTCGCCTAAGAAGTAGGCCCGGTCAGCAACGTCGCAACCCAAATTTATACGGGCTTATCTCACCACTCAGCAAATCAATCCATGAGTTGACGCTCATCTTCTCGCTTGACTTCATCATCTTCAGCGTCTCGTCCAGCAAGACCTCCCCAGTCAATGTATCGTCGATGACCTCGATGATGCGGTCGGCCAGGGGGAAACGTCGCCGCGACGAATCCTTCTGCATGCTTATACGGCCTCGGAGCGCGAGCTCAATGACGATACACCCTCGCAGGGCATAGGAGATGTTTTCGTTCCAGAAAGACAGATAACCCTGTTGCGGCGCGGGCGCGAGGTCAGCGATCGGACCACGAATCGAACAAAGCAAAGTCGGGCATGAGATAATATCCATGAAGACTCACCTGTTTATCTTTCAGACCCAGCAGCAAGATATCCTCCATCAGAGTCAATTTGGGCTGCTTGCCCCGTTCCTCGTTTTCGCTGATGTCGCGGGGATCGAATGCGATCTTGTGGCCATTCTCTGCATTGGTAAAGGACGTTTCCGGTCCACGGTTATCCGTCGCAGAGCCATTTCGGGAGATTGGCGATGACACTCGGTTGTCATCTTGTTCGTCTGCCCCAGCGACTCGACCGGCGCCTCTGCGGCGAGTCAAGCCCCCGGCTGCTGAGGCCATGAGATCGGGTCGGGTTGGGCGGGGGATCAAAAAGGGATGGAGAGAGATATGGCCGGAGATGACCAAAGGCTTCCTATCTGTATGCCGGTGGTTCGAATGGTCTGGGTTGGTGAGATGTTGAGAGGGACCGTTTAGGCCGAAAGTCTGCGGTTGAAGTGGGACTTTCGGTGTCAGGGGAAACCAGAGACCGAGTGGGCTTAGCCAGAACGATACAGTGTCGGGTATACTGAACTAAACCCGCCTAAATACGAGAGGAATAGGCGACTGTAAAGAATGGAGTTGTGAAAAGGGTGAAGTTCAAAGTAAGTTAGTTCGGTGATGTGGCTCTTTGAGTAACGGCGGGTGCTTAAACACCCAAGGGCTAGCAATCTCCGCGTTATGAGTCTATTTGACGGCTCTATTTTTTGAAAAATTGGGAATATAAGTTAGTATATACGTACAATCTATTCTTATATTTCGATATGCTTATGTACTCTATGTTTTTGTCTTGTGTTCACTATTAAACCAAAACATGTAGACAAAAGCCAACTAGACTTAGGACTACATCCATACATTCCATGGTAATCATATGAGATATAGAGGTAACTATGTACCTAAACATATACATATGTATGTATCTATCAATAAAGATGCCTCAAAGGGTCATTACGCTAAAAACATATACTAAATTGTCTAGACGCATATGGTGACTATCACTACGTAGCCGTTCTGCTTCAAAATTGCATAAATTGCACTCAAATGATATACACGATATAGGAAAGAAAAGCCACTGGCATGTATTCAGCATACAAAATAGCATGGCGGTTGAGTGTCACTGTGTCCAGCAAACCCCACTGATGCCAACATCCCGATTCTTTTTCTATCCGACTCTCCAACCGATCCCAGGTGTTCAAATTAAATATTTAGTGGGCTGTGAAAAAGTCAGCACATGTGAAGGAGGATGGGGTGCTATGGGATTCACATACCATCGGGCTGGGCCAGGATGTACTCGACAGCCTTGTCAACTATACATAATATTCATGTCAGCTCTGGTTGACGAACAATAACGAGGTCATCAAGCCCTAACATACCGCTGTGGATCTGGTCGGCCTCCTTGTCGGGGATCTCAATGCTGAACTCCTGTTGAGACGGTTAGATACCCATCATATAATATGCAATTGATGCTTTTCCGAGGAAAACCGGGCGCGTACCTCCTCAATGGCCATCACGACTTCGACGGTGTCCAGGCTGTCCAGACCAAGGTCGTTCGAGAAGTGGGAAGTGCCATTAATCTGCAGGTCAAATTGGTTTAGTTAATGAATGTTTTCAGTCGCCTCTCCCATAGCTCATAGCGATGTAGAGGTGGCGACGGTGCATCCGACAGATAATCACTGACCTTGCTGGCATCGGAGACCTAAGCATGAAACAAATTCAGTTAGTGATTTGTTTTTCGTCTATAGCCAATAGATGGCGAGATTTCCGGGGAAACAACATGACGCACCTTGTCGAAGTTCTTGAGCAGGTTGACTATCCGGCCCTCGGCCTCGCTCTTGCTAAGACCGGCAGGGGCGGAGTAGAGGCGGATACCCTGAGCGAAGCGAGGAGTGAATTGAGGGACCTGGGCAGCAATGGGGAAGCTGCGGATGTGGAAGGGAGCCGGGGTCTTGATGACACGGGGGGCGGAAGCCTTCAAGGAACGAACAATGGCGGAGCGGAACATGATGAAGTAGATTGATCGGACTAGCGCAAAGGCTGAAAAGATCTAAAGTATTAAAAAGAGATGGTGGAGAGTAAACGGGTAGAGATTGGGGAAAGACGGCTGCCGCAGAAGAGGAAAGATGTGAGGTCGCGCCCAGCAAAATCCTGCGGGCCAATCAACGCCCGACAGAAAGGAATGACCTAAGCCGGAAACCTGCAAACCACAACCTCAGACTTGCTCCCCTTCACCTCCAATTGAACCTCGATTGCCCCATATCTCCAACCTCACTCTCCTCTCCAAAACCATGGCCGCCACCCGCTCGGTCGCGAGGCTAATCGCCTACCGTCGGCCGACCCCCTTCGGATTGCTGGGCTCAACCGCAAACTTCTCTTCTTCGACGTACCGCGCAGCAACCCCAGCGGGACCCCCTCAGGCCGGGTTCCGCCTGCCCCCGCCCAAGCGCTGGGATCAGAGCTCCGAGTCTGCCTTGGACAAGGCCAGCAAATATTTCCTCATGGCAGAGATCTTCCGCGGCATGTACGTGGTGCTTGAGCAGTTTTTCAGACCACCGTAAGTCCTTGTCCCACTCAACCTTGCCGGCGATGCGGATCGCAATCCAAAATCAATGGATCGAAACATATCAACTAATTGCGTTGCCATGTTCCAGTTACACCATCTTCTACCCGTTCGAGAAGGGTCCTATCTCCCCCCGTTTCCGTGGCGAACACGCCCTCCGTCGCTATCCAACTGGTGAAGAGCGCTGCATTGCTTGCAAGCTCTGTGAGGCTATCTGCCCGGCCCAAGCTATTACCATTGAGGCCGAAGAGCGTGAGGATGGAAGCCGCCGCACGACCCGTTACGATATTGATATGACCAAGTGCATTTACTGTGGCTACTGCCAGGAGAGCTGCCCTGTGGATGCCATTGTTGAGAGTGAGTTCAACACCCTCCGGTTACGTCTTAATTGACATTCAAGCCGGATTACTAACATTTTTTTCTTCCAGCTTCCAACGCCGAATATGCCACCGAGACCCGCGAGGAGCTTCTGTACAACAAGGAGAAGCTCCTCTCCAATGGTGATAAGTGGGAGCCTGAGATTGCAGCTAGTGCTCGTGCAGATGCTCCCTACCGATAATCTATTTCCCTCCAATCTGATTGGGATCTTCAGGCAAATCCACATCTATTCCAAAATGTTAGATGTGTGGACACGAAGATTCTAGTCGCAATACCCATCCATTCAAGAGGCACTATGCCTCGAAAAACAAGAATGATTTTTAAGCTCATCACATTACTGTACATAACTTGCCCTCGATTGTGTTATCATCTTGTACTAGTCAATTCCTGAAGGAAATGCCTTTCCCTGGAACCCTGGCCCCCTTGTCTCTTTTTATTTCCTGTGTTATGGAATCTAGCAACTCATTTTCTTCTGGTTGAATTTCATATATAAATTCGGCAATCCCATCTTATATCTTCGCTGAACACTTTTTCGCTAACCGCATAAATATAGTACATCTTGAGTTCTATAGTTTTACATAGGCATAAAGACAAAAGGAACACATATACAGCTCGATAAGAAAATGATATTGTATTCACAGATAAATCAAATCGCTACCGATGCTGTCATGCATAGACATAAAGTGACAGATTAAGCTGCCAAAGACAAAAACGTAAACACCAGGCACCTTGATCTCCGGATGGATATTTCCCAGTTCAAAGTCTCAAAACACTTTTTTTTTGGTTCGGGGGCTTCTGTGTGCGATCTTGTTTTAGGGATGTAAACATCCAAGACACAAAGACTGATCTGAGGGGTATGCAGAGAAAAGGAAAAGAAGAATTTAAAACACGGGTTGATGTAAAAGCAAGTGAGAAACGAGATAAAAGTAAGCCACTAGATAGAAGCTTGTTTATTTCTTCTTGCCACCACCCTTGAAGCTGCCCTCAAATCCAGGACGAGCAGCCTTCTTCTTTCCACTGCTGCTAGACTTCTTCTTGCCCCCCTTGGTGCCCTTGTCGTCCCGGCGCTTGCGAAGGTTCTCCTCGCGCTTGTTCTGGCGCTGTTCCTTGGATTTGGCGACAGTGTCAATGCGGTCCCTCCACTCGCGCTCAGACTTCTTCTTTGCCGTTTCCTTGCGCTTGAGGGCCTTCTTCAGCAAAGAGGTGTCGTCGCGGACGCGCTCGCCGTGAGCACGCTTCTTCGCATTCAACCAAAGGTCCTTCTCTTCAACGTCGGCACGCTTGGTAGGGTCCATCTCTTCGAGACGGGCTTTCTTGGCCTCGGCAACCTTGAGCTGGGAAGCCGGATCACGGGCACCGCCAGTCTTCGGTTTTTCGCGTACGTTGGTTCCGGTGATATCTGTCTGCTGGCCGTCTGTGAACATCACACGGCCGAAGGAGAAGTTGTTGCTAGCGGAGCTGACGGACTCGGCAGGGGAGCGGGGGGATGCCAGGAGCGATCCAGAGCCACCGGGCGAGAAGCGGCGGGCCATGGCCTCGTCGTTCTTCTTTTCTTCCTCAACCTTGGCCTTTTCGCGCAGTTCTTTCTTGTGTGCCTTTCTTTGTTCGGCCTTTTGCCGGCGGGCTTCGATCAGCTCTTGGCGGTTGCGTGCAGGCTTGCCGTTGAGTCCATCTGCGTGGCGCTTGGCCCGGAGCTCATCCAGACGCTTCTGTAGACGCTGCTTCAACTCTTCGGGTGTGTGCTTAAGAGGCTTGGGCTCTGAGGATTTGACGTCGGTAGAGACGGAGGGAGGAACGATGGAGGAAATGGAGGAGGTGCCGGATTGGGGGTTTGAGGTATCGAAGGTAGGAGAGTCGGTGGTAGAAGGGGCAGAAGAAGGGTCTTCCTGTTCAGCGTTGAACTCAATAGAGAACCCTTCCTCGACAACACCGTCATCTTCTTGGTCGTCATCTTCTTCATCCTCGGACGCTTCAGTGTCCTTGGCTGCCTTGCCGTTAGACTTGGATGCAGATTTTTCCGAATCCTCGATTGGGGTAGTCGATGACTTCTTTCCCTGCTGGGATTTTTCCTTCCGGGCCGCATCCTTGGCCTTCTTTTTCTCCATTTGTGCGGCCTTTTTCTGGGCCTTCTTCTCTTCCTTTTGCTTTTTCCGTGCCTCGGCCTCTGCTGCCTTGGCGGCGTCTGGCTTATCAGTCTTTTCAACCTGCTTTTGCTTCTTGATGTTGGCGGCCCCGCGGTTCAGTCCTTCCTTAGGGGTCTCCGTGCCCATCTCTCCGTCGGACGAGTCGGACTCGAGGGTGCCGTCCTCCCGCTTTCGCTTGCGTGCGTTTTCATCCATCACGTCTTTGGCGGTCTTGGCGGCATCGGGGTTCAGCTTCGCCCGCTTCGCCTCGCGTGCTTGTTCTTTGGTTTGCTTTTTGCGTTGCCATTGATCCTAAAAATGAGGATGATGGTCAGACAGAGATCTTCAGAATTAAAGATAAAGCCAAGAACACAAGCTGACTCCAATCCGAAAGCCGCTGACTTATGAAATGCAACAGGGTCACATACACTTGTATCTTCTTCGCCATAATAATATTTGGCGGGGATCAAAGACAGCAGACCGTCAAATGCCTGCGCATGGCTGCGCAGCCGTTCCTTGAGGGCAGTCAGCTCGCAATCCTTGCGGGGCATTCTCCGAGTGCACAAACCTCGATATCATCCATAATATTTCCAGTACACAGAAATTGTATTCTGGAAGGGAAAGCTAGACAGTCAAGCGCAACGAAAAATTTTGGGGAAGGAAATCTTGGCGCTACAATTGTCTCCGCTTCGGCTGGTTCACCGCCCTCACACAACAATTTTGCTGTGCTGGTCCGTGCATTTTGATAGACAGGCTCCAGGTCGGTTGATTGTTCCCTTCACCGTATTCTTTCTATTCATCCTTTTTGATTGTGCTCTTTTTTACCTTGATCTTCTATTGATTCCATGGTTATGCATTGTTTTATCCAATACATGAATAGGCACTCCATGATAAATGACGTGGATATTCTCTCCACTTCTATATCAGACCTGATCCACGAGGCCAGTCCTAACATCTAGTCCAGGGCATCCCTCGCTTTTGATACTTGTCACATTCCCATACGGCCAAGGATCTGTCCAAATCACGTCGAATCTGAAACAATTAGCGCAGGACATAACACAAGGCAAACAAACGCGCTTCTGTCGAGTCGCGAGTCGAGGGTTCATGAGACAACCGTCTCCCAGGCATATATCAAGCGATGCGAATCTCATACTAACAAGAAGACATCTGAGGATACAATTACCTACCGCTTATTTGGATATTCAATAGGCTCCCAAGCACCAAGCTCCTCCACAATCCCACTCATAGTCGAGTGCCGCCATGCAATCAAAATGTTTCCCGGTCCGTCATACGACCTGATCGCCTTAGCCACACATTTCACTTTGTTCCGCTTGCAATGTGTGTCAACTCTGAGACCCAAATCTTTGGCAAGGGGTAGAACGGTTTCAAACGCACGGCCATGTGTGCCATCTACAGGCAGAAAGCATATTGTCAGCCATGTCTATGACATTCAACCACCTGCGCGCCTCGTTGCAGCACTGTGGTGTCGATTTGCTCTCGAGTATTGTTGTAAACCTACCCCATTTCACACGAGGTGCCATAATATGCCCGATGTTGTACTCCGAGCCTTGGCCGAAAACATGTCTCAGGCACTGTGCCCGCTTAACCCCGTCTAAGGTCAAACCATGGTCGTTGGGATCCCGAGGCTTCTCGCCGTGTCGAATTATATAGACCGTTGGGTGTGGTTTTGCGGACACGATACCGAGGCAAAAGCACAGAGCTGAGAGGACCAATTGCAGTCGCATTTTTGGCACATACACTAATTAACCCAGTCGTATACAAAGTAAGCGGGTAATAGCTAATGTATGGACAGTCGAGCAGTGGAAGATCACAGAAAATGATCTTTGGGGACAATTATAAGAATGTGGGAAAAAGCAAAACCTCACGGAAATTTGCTCATGTCGATCGGGTGCCCTTAGCTCTAGTTATAAGTACAGAACACCATTTTGTTATGGAGTCACATACCGAAGAGCACAATAGGGCTGACACAAAAAAAAGCAAAGGTGGATCAGCAGATGACATTCCAATGATATGATCATCCAACAGCAAGGGCGAAGGAAAGCATAAGGTTCTGCAAGTTGACAAACTACAGGCAGGCGTTCGGTCGATGTGCTATGATTCAGTGGTTTGATTGGTCTGCAGATTATGCATGTTCATTTTACTGCATCGATCGACTCGGGTTTGGGAATGATCTCGGAGATCTGTACACAGTACATATGCAGCGGTGTTTATAGTCAAGAGCACATGTACAACTGCGATTTAGTTTATAAACGTATGGAACAGATCTAATGACAATGAACCTGTGGTCGGAGTATATCTCGGATGTGATTTAAGACTCTCGCAATTCGATGGTGGTCAGCGTGCATGCTGTACAACGTAGGATATATATGAGGACCCTAGGGGTAGATCAACCTACTGTCACCCGATCGGATCAAGTCCCATGTAATAGTCCCATGTTTAAACCAGTCATGCGTCAATCATAATCGATCATCTAGCCCACTAGAAACGAGAGCATCTAAGTGGTCCACGGCATGGAGATATGGGAATCGGGGGAGGGGCAACACACAAGCCAGGCTTGGTGATTTATGAAAGAAAATAGTCTGGTGACCGGCTCCTTTGCCAATATTCATTGAAGGCAGTATGTGTCTATTAATTTAGTAATTCCTCGGTCGTATGCCCTAGATATATATTGTTGACACCAAGTGATTGACGTTGTACAACATACACTGTTGCCTCCCGATTCGCCATCATGTGATGGTCACCTGAGCATGTCATCATTATGACTTCAAAGCAATTTGACTTCGATGTTGTTTTGACAACATGTTGTCAATCGTAATAGTTGGTATATAGACTTGGCTTCAGGCGCTATTATCTCTTAGAATCAGAAATTCACGACTCATGATGTCTTCGGCAAATGACGCCACCTTTAACTGTTCTGTTCAGCTTACTCCGTAGCGTAGGCAGCCACATAAAACCGTCCCAATACAGACGATACAGAGGAGACCTCGGGAGCCAATGTGCGGCAGCGGAGAAAGCGATTCTGGAAGATCCGTGGAAGCCGATAGATCCGCGTAATCTATTTTGGGCCTAATCTGGTAATGTATAAACCGAGGCTGAGCCCGGCATAGCCACAGTAGGTTACAGTATTGTGTTCCAAAGTTGGGACTGTGGCTGTGTAAGTGACTTAATCAGAGGCTGAGTGCATCCTCCATCGATAGATTTCACGTCCGAACTAGTAAAAGACGGTAAATGCAAAGATGCGCAAGATGCCCAGGCGTACAGGGCTGAAAATGCCCGACGCTTACCAACGCTGCGCCTCCCCTCGTTCCGTAACGTTTCGCTTGCCATGTGGGGTTCTTACCGTCAGCCCTGTGGTTACTTGAAGTCACCTCTTATAAAAGGTTGCCCCCCTCACTTGACTTCTCTTCATCACTTACCACTCCTCACATCTACACTACCCCACCTTCCATCATCCATCAATTTTCTATCAAGCCAATTCAAATTACATCATGTCCGGCTACGACCAGTACAACCAGGGTGGCTACGGCCAGCAGCAAGGCTATGGTGGCCAACAAGGCTACGGTGGCCAGCAAGGCTACGGCCAACAGCAACAGTACGGTCAGGGTCAAGAGGGCTACGGCCAGCAAGGCTATGGCCAGCAGCAGGGTTCTTCCGACTACTCCGGCCAGCAGCAACAGGGCTACGGCCAGCAGCAGGGTGGTGGTTCTTCCGACTACTACTCCGGCCAGCAGCAGCAAGGCTATGGCCAGCAGGACCAGAACCGCCAGGGGTATGTCCTTCCCTCTCCATTCATTTCATTCATTATGTACTAACATATCATAGTGGCTATGAGCAGCAGCAGGGTGCTCCCGGTGAGGCCCAGGAGGGCGAGCGTGGTCTTGCCGGCGCCCTCGCTGGTGGTGCTGCCGGTGGCTTCGCTGGCCACAAGGTCAACCACGGTTTCCTCGGAACAATCGGTGGAGCCATCATTGGTAGCATTGCTGAAGACGCTGTCAAGAAGCACCGCAACAGCGACAACCAATCTCCTCCTCAGTACGGTGCCCCCCCTCCCAACGGTCAATATGGCGGCGGCCCTCCTTCCCACAATGGTAGCGGCGGCTCCATGATGGATCAGCTCGGTGGCTTCTTCAAGAAGTAGAAGGTTTTCGATGAACCTCCCTCTTGCGTTTTCTGCCTGACGACACGGTTTTCATGAATTTCTTTCTTTGCTCTTATTATCCCAATGGGTCGGCATGCATTTTTCTTTTCGCCTTCCGCCAGATCGCTTTCAATTTTCATGGGTTTTTTTCTCCTCCTTCAAGGGGCTTGTACCATGACAAGAGCTGCGTTGATATTGGAAATCACCTTTGTGTGGTCTGACCATAATTTTCAGAATTGCAACGTGATTAACTTGCAACATTCCTTGTAAAAGACAGTAAACCAATTAAGTAAACTGCCATGGCAAATCAAAATGATAGAGAATTCTGTCTGTGTGTATATTGTAGCAGGCGGAGAGGCCAAAACACAACCCCAAGTGGAATAGCGCACGGCCTCAGGCATCAACCGCCAAGCCCGACAAAAGTTCGAGCGGACGAGTCCCCAGTAACCTCCTCGTCAGACATATCTGCAATTTAGCATTCCCAAAATGATTATACGGAAGCTTTGTATGCGCCAGGGTTAGTTTAGTCCAATTGCCGCTATCATATTCAATGTCCCTGCTAACAACATCCCACAGGCCGCCAGCTCCTTGCTCTGAGCCGACGAGCTCCGATCTCCAGTCGTTTCCAATCGACATTGCCCGAAACCCCAGTCGAGACATTGCAAAAATCCATCAGAGATGAGATCTCTCGCCCAGAAAACCCCCTCTTTGAGATGGTACAGGCGCAATCTGAGGCCAGCACACCCGCACAACAAGAGTTCACATCAGACGAGCCGCAAAGTGAGCCGCGAATATCTTCTCGGAGATTCCTCCAACGCATCAACTAACCTTGTCTTTCTTTTCTTCCCCCAGGAAGCAATTTCAAAAAGCTCGGCACAAGCGTGAAATCCTCCTACGACCCCGAAAATGTTATCCGCAACCCTCCCAAGCCATCCCAGATCTCCCTGGAAATGCTGCTCGCAGCAGGAACACACCTGGGCCACTCAACCTCGCGCTGGAACCCACAGAACTCGCGATACATCTTCGGTATACGCGAGGGAGTGCACATTATCTCGTTGGACGTAACAGCCGCGCACCTCCGCCGCGCCGCAAAAGTCGTCGAGGAAGTCGCTGCACGTGGCGGACTAATCCTCTTCGCCGGCACGCGGAAGGGTCAGAAGCGGGCCGTTGTCAAGGCGGCGTCGCTGGCAAAGGGCTACCACATTTTCGAGCGGTGGATTCCGGGCTCTCTGACGAACGGCGAGCAGATTCTCGGCCACTGTGAGACGAAGGTTGTCAACGCGCTGGACGAGGAATTGCCCAAATTCAAGTCTGATCTTGCTGATCGCCCGTCGCTCAAGCCCGATTTGGTGATTTGTCTTAACCCGCTTGAGAATGTTGTCTTGCTGCATGAGTGTGGCCTAAACAATGTTCCTACTATCGGTGTTATTGATACCGATGCGGATCCTACGCGAGTTACTTACCCGATTCCCTCGAACGATGATAGTCTGCGGGCTACTTGTCTTATTGCGGGCATACTTGGTCGTGCTGGTGAGGCGGGTCAGTTGCGTCGGTTGAAGATGGCAAGGGAGGGTCGGACTTCTTACAATCCTATCACAGCTGAGGAGCTGCGTCTTGATCCGTTTACGGGTCAGGCTCCTGGTGGTGAGGGTCAGAAGAAGTAGGGGGATGCGAGTTGTGTATTCCTTCTGATTGCATTTTCCTTTCATTTTTAGTATCCGGTCGATTGCATTGAAACGACGGGACTCTGTATTGTATAGATGATTCCAGGTCTTGGTGTTGAGATATGTATTAACAACTTTGAGTCAATTTTGGTTCTTTTTTTTACTTGAGTCCAGCCTGTAATGAGGGGACGATACATCAGTAACAGCTTCTGGAGGGCTTAAGCCTGTGGTCTTCGGTATAGGTAGTTGGGCTAAAGATGTGATCTCGCTTTTAAATCCCTCAGAAAATCGCAGGATGAAAGGCATCACTTTGCCGGCCTGTTCAACGCCAACTATACACTTATATCGACACAGACGAGATCTATCGCTTTGGAAGAAAACGAAAAGCAACAAGGTTCACCGTCTTGGTACCATCCACCTCGAGAAACTCGCGGAATCGCTCAAACCCACATTTCAACAGTACCCTCTGGCTTCCACTATTGCTTGCTTCCGTGATAGCGATGAGGCACTCATCCACTACACCTTCTCCAACGACCATTTCTTTCTGAACTCTGACCTCCCGCTCCGCGCGAGGCAATTCTGACCAAAACCGCAGCCAGGCGCTCAAGAACTCTGTCGCGATGCCTTTCCCCCAAGCGTCCGTCCGAAGCATGTATCCAACTTCAGGCCACCCATGCGTTCCAGGATACAGATGACAGCCACCGATACCGATAAGCTCGCCCGTGTTCTTCAGACAAATGGCGCAATTGGCGGTGGTAAGATCGTTTGGTGGTAGGAAAGCATCCAGTTTGGATTTTGTCTTCTCAAGACTTTCGTCGATACACCCCGCCTTGGTCCACCTCATGACTTCTTCCTGTGTGTGCAAGACGTGTAACTCTTCCAAGTCGGTTGGTTGGAGGGCACGGACAAGTAAGCGATCCGTGGTTATTGCTGCGCGCTCGCTATTTGCGGGGAGCGGGACTGTGGGCAAGAATGCCTTCACAATTACAAATTCTCCCTCTGTGGCCATGTTGATACCTACTTCCAGTGCTGCTTTCCAGAAAGTACCTGTGTGTGTGGCACGGTTGAGTCACTAAACCCTGGAATCCATTCTAACCTTGAAAGTGCACTAGTGGGACAAACCCACCTTGGCCTAACTCCGAACTGTAATTGGTGTGTCACTTTGATACATAAAATGCCAATATTTCTAGGCAATGTGGCCTAGATTGATCAGAAAGAAAGGCTAGTATGCATTTTATCAAGAGAGATGGAGGATGGACAAGAGAAGGTAGAGAGTACGAGATCTATTTACCCTGACTGTTAAATGTGGATGCCTCAGGAAATGGCACAGGAAATGCATCTCAACAACACTTGAAAAGCTGAAATGGTATAGGACATTTACGATCCAAGAGCAAACAAACCAAAGGCGCCCTGGATAATGGCGGTCAACGGAGGTTACCTTCACGGTGGCCTGCATAGCCCTAAACGAGTAGTCCTACTTGGGACCTCACGGTGTACTACAGTATTTGTCTCTTGGCATCTGCATATACCCGCCAGTCAATATAGGCCCTCATGATCGGCCACATGTCTCAGCTAGGCACTTGGTCGCCGGAGGTCTCAAAACTATTCTCATTGAATAACGAGAATCCCCAGAATCCCCCAATACCTTTATCTCCATCGGGACCTCAATAAAGATCTATAGAAATGGAAGGCCTAATAATCGATATAATCTTGTAAGGTTGTAGAGATGGTATAATACAGGTTGGGAATTTCAGATTTTAGAGACCTTTGAGACCTCCGGCAACAGGAACCTGCTCTTAGCCCAGTAATTGTATCAGTTGTGTTGCAGGTATGTTCGCTACCCGGTACAATACAAATTCACAGCTCACACGTTTAATATAATCACCTAGATCTGGAGTAGGCTGTAATGGGATACTTCGACTGCGATCACATCACTGGAGGGCCCTCTCGAGGTTCTTCAAGACGGACAGCAATGCAACCACTTAATAAATTGTACATGTATGTGATATTTACAATACATGCCACGCGGATTAGCAAGCTCGCCTGTAACAATATCCGAGACAGTTACCCCGTATACGTGCTACCAATCCAATTTATGATGCATGAGTCACGGTTACTTTCAAATTCATAGGGATGTTTAGAACTGAAATCTATATACCCGCAGACCACTCACTACAACGTCGAAGTCTTGAAAAGCTCAAAGTCATTGACCACCATGCCACAATCAAAAGCAAAAGATGAAGGTTCTCGGCACCGGTTACACCGACAATTGGATCGCTTCCGCTCTATATATTCGAATTTTGACCTATCAAAACACATCCAGGGGCTTTCTACAAAGTGAGTTTGAACATAATTGAGTAATTGAACGGTGCTAATCAGGTAAACAGACCGTTTATTCCAAAAGCGTCCACTGCGAGCTCGTTGCCTCTCATAGAAGGGAGTGATACCCCTACAGTCTTGACCAATACTAGCAAAGGCGAAACTCAAAACCTAGCCTCTCGGAGCATCGTCTATGGGAACAGTCTTGCACAAAACACTACCGATCTATTGGTTTCAAGCGATGGTGTTAGCAACAGTATTGCTTCTGCAGACCTGTGGAGTGCAGCATACCGCGAGGCAGTTGAAATGTTTGGGAAGGAACTGGACATCGCTGATATGAAGGGAAAGAATGTCATGCAGCTATTCCATGACCTTGAAGTTACTGGAAAAGAAAAAGTCCACGAATCTGCCTTTCTGAGGGGCTTGAATTATTTGCGAGCACACAAAATATATCTCGAGGGATTCAAGCTAGCGCTGGATCTATCAAGCCCACTGGCAAATATGGAACCAGCTACAAATGCGGCTTTTGGTGTGGTTAGAAGCGTGACTGCGGTAAGCTCCGTCCATGACAACGTTGAATGAACTAATGATTGTTGTATCAAACGCTTATTAATCTGCTGGCAGATTGCTATCAGCTTTGCAACCGCTGATTTGGACTTCGCGAAGCAAATTGTAGCGATGCTGAAGCAAATTGCCTACATCGATGACTGTGACACGCTTGGCCAGAAAGCGGATAGGAACGACATCCATAAAGTATTTACTGGAAATTCCTTCTCAAAGCTTTTCTAATATTTTGCAGGCACTCGTCTCGGTGTATCAAAAGATCCTCGAGTTCTACGAAGCTGCACTTGAGATCTTGAAAAGGACTGGAGCAAGATTCATAATGAAAATGGTTCTGGAGAACGACCGCCTTCCAACCATTGTGCAAGAATTTCTGGAATGTTCACAAAATCTCACGAAGATCATAAGTAAAGCGACGTGCGAAATCCAGACCGATATTCAACGTATGCTCTATGATCGTGAAAGTAAGTCTTCATACATTTCACGCTGTTATACGCATTCTTACCTGATCCAAGTTTCCAGATGGCTGGGTGGTGACAAGATGAGCCAACAAACCCAGTACCATCAATATTTGACCGAACAACGAGCTGATAAAGCTTGTGAATTCTTACTGGAGAATCCCAATTTCATCAACTGGTACCGAGCTTCCGATTCACAGCAGTTGATGATCTTCGGCGATATGGGCAGTGGAAAAAGCTTTGCTATGGCATTTCTTGCGGACGAGCTGGTACGAAGAAGCAAACACCAACTACCTCAGCCCAAGGTCTGCTATTACTATTGCCGGGATGATGAGACGGGGAAAACCGTCTTCATATTATCGGCTCTAATTTTATCGCTCCTTGGGCAGCTCACGGGTCTGAAGAAGCCATTTGTTCAGTGGTACAAGGAGGCTCAGAACTCCGGGGACTTTGATCCGGCGACAAATTTCAAAACACTGGGAGAGTTCCTATGCAAAGTGCTCGAAGCAATTGATCGCCCGGTCTTTGTGGTGATTGATGGCCTGGACGAGTGCAATAGAGAATCCCGAAGTAATCTCCTGACAATATTGCGAAAATTGTTACAGAGAGTTTCGGGGCTGAAAATCATACTGTCTTCCCGTACACAGGATGAGATCTTGGAACGGCTTCACGATACGGCTAAGATCGAAATGGTAACTGACGCTCATCGAGATGGCATTATCGTCGCAAAAGTCGTCGAAAGAAAGTTGTTCGATCTATCGCCGAATGTCAAGTCACTTGTCATCGACAGACTTACTCGTCTAGCAAAAGGAAGCGCCATATGGACGAGGATGACCATTGAGCTGATTGAAACCCGCAAAATTATGGCATTCGATCCGATGAAAAGCTTCTTGGAAGAAATGTCACTCCCCGAACAGCTATCAGAAGTTTACAGCACGTTGCTCTCCCGCTGCTCTTCAAACGATCCCGACAACCTCAAAATTGCCAGTACCGCGCTCAAGATTCTCGCCACCACTAACCGAAATTTGAGCATACTAGAGCTCGGCTGGGCCGTTGCATTAGGTACGACTCGACATGTCACTACCGTAGATGCTCTTGCCAAGCTAGTGGATCACCAGAGAGTCATGAGGTTAATTCACCCGTTCATTGCTCACGTCGAGTTCAAAGACGTAAAGAAGCACCAGGTTCGACTCGTGCACCAGTCGGTGAAGGAGTTTGTACTGAAGAATTTCGTCTCGAATCAGCCATGGCGACACGGTCCAATCTCAAGAGAACCCGATGAAATGATTCTTGACCAGTGCTCTGAAAGTCTGCAGGCATTTATCCTTGATATTTGCACCAGGTATCTTCTTCTTGAAGACATTGGCAGAAGAACTCTGTTCTCCGAGGATCTTGTGGCAATTGCAGAGCTGCCCCAAGACATATTCAACGATAACGAAGGGCCGATCGAGTACGACAAAAATTGCACATGGGAAGCTTGGGAGGAGGATATGATCCATTTTGATCCCACTGACCGCGGCTTTGGAGAGTTCTTTGTCTACGCATCATGCCATTGGTTGAACCACTTCTGCACCATTACAGCTGAACATCTTCCAAGTCTAGAAACCATAGAGAAGATATGCCAAGCGGGCTCGACTCGATTAAGCAATTGGATTCAACAAAACTGCCGCCCGGGCTGCACGTTAACGCCAAGATTTGAGTTTGAAAGCAGTCTGTACGATCCTCTCAGCATCGCTTCGCTTTATGGCTCAGTAGCCATGCTACGAGATATGCTTGAAAACTCATCCTTCGACAAGGACATTTTTCTGGAACAGTCGGCTATGAGAGCTGCTCATGAGATTCTCCGATGGGGGGACGTATCAAGACTTGGAATCATCTTCTTCAGTGATCGACTTGGTCATCAGCTACGAAATCTTGACTTTTTCCGACTTATCATCAAATGGTGGTGCAACCGCACTCTCACCAACCACCAATGCGATCTTGTATTTGATCTTGTCAATGATGTGTCAAATCAATTGGTCCAGGAACAATGGGGAAATGAACTTCTGTGCATAGCTGCTAGTGCAGGCTGCATGCCCATAATCCGGCGGCTAATGACCAGCGCTCAGCATAGTCCAGAGCTAAAGAGCGAATTGCTGCGTGGGTATCGACTCGAACAATGGTCACAAGTTGTCAAACCAACACATCAGTCGATCGGAGAGGCTGTTTTGAGAAACAACCTTGACGTGGTACAATATTTACTGGGTGAGAGTGGCATCGAAGCCCTTCTTCGATATCGGAATTCCCGTGGTGAAAACGTTCTGCATTTGGCGTCAAAAACCTGCAACCCAGATATCTTCCGACTATTGGCCCTTCATTTCCAGGAAGGAATCCACCAAGAAGATGATCAAGGCGACACAGCTCTAGTGCGGATAATCACCAGTTCTTCACCCACAAAAGACCGGTACGAGTCGGCGAAGATTCTCCTCTCACATTATGACACGGACTGGAATTTCCATTCTTGGAATGAGCAACATAATGCTTTGCGGGCCGCTGTGAAGATTTGCGATCTAGGCATGTGTTGCCTTTTGATATGTATTGGCAAGATCAACGCACTTCCATCCATGACCTGTGATAGCGTGAGCCAAGTCGATCTGGAAAACATACGTGTTGAAAATGAGGGGAATATGCTGGAGATCTTAGCGGATCTTTTTGAGATCATGAAAGTGCTGCCCAATGACGATTCAGCGCAGCTTTTTGGTCCAATGACGGAGCGGTCTATTCGGAAATTGGCTGAGGACCGTTTTAACAGTGACTTTGGAGATCTAATTAGTGGTTTACATCCTGTTGAAGTGGTCTGTCGGACTCACAAGAGCCATCAGTGATCGTGGAAGCCAACGAACCATGTAAATATTATTGTCTTGGAATAATTTGTTCTTTGTGGGTTTACTTTCTCGAAACCCATGGTGTGAACGCTCAATCGTATCTATATTTACATCATAACAAGGTTTTTGAACATCTTGATGAACGCCCTTGTCAACCTAGAGTCTATGTCATTGTGACCTTCCCTCCAGAAACACGTAGACACGGCTGTCACCGACAGAAAATGAACGGGAATGGACTGGAATGATATATAATAATTAATTGTCCAGTAAAACAGAGGCCAACATTCGTTTTCTACTCCAACTGCGCCAGGACCTATCTATTGATCAAGACAACCCATCCAAGCTTTTGCAGAAATTCTCTTGCCCAAGTGTCCGGAGATCCACTGTAAACCCTTATAGTGAACTTTTTCAGAGAGACAATGCCTTTTAATTGCGCATCGATTTCCAAGAACACCTCTTGAGCGGGCTTGGTATCGTCGAGATTCCCCTGGAGCAGGCTGCGGGAATTCCGGCTGTAGGCGATAGTTTCCAGCGTTTTCAGGTGTGTAAATTCTTTTTGGAGAAGCTGAAAGCTCTGCAAGCTGTCCTCTCTAAGCCTGACTTCTCCTGACTGGCCTTCTACCCTCTTTGTAGCTGGGAAATTGATACATAGATGGGACAGTAAACCTGCATTCACACGTCCAATGCAGTTCAGAAAGGACTTCAAAAGGCCGCCCTCGCTTTGCATTGTTTCCACTTCCTGAAGAGTGAAATGGTTCGTGCCATAAAGAACTACTTTGGCTTCGTCGTATATCTGTCGGTTGATGTATAGCAATGCAAGCCATCGATAAGGCTTTTGGGGTTCGAAGCTCTGCACTGGGCCCCCTGGATCTTGAAAAAGATAGATTGTGTCAGGTACCGTAAGTACATATTTGTAAACCTCATTGCGAACTTCGACAGGTAAACTGAGAAATCCGACAGCGGAGGCACTTGGTTGTGATAGCGACATGTTGAAAGAATTGAGGTGTTCTGAAGAGGGGTAGGTATTTTTGGCAGGTGATATGGAACTCAAGGCCTACAGTTGTCTGTCGTTCAAGATATATATTGAGATGCGAAATGCGTTGATAGCTTTGTTTTGATCCGAAGCAAAGCCATTCGTTACGCCGTTTTGCGAGGCAATCGAGACAGAATTCACGGTTGCACTGTTAAATAGCCCCTCTCATCGGAATGAGAGATTAACAGCACGTGGATAATTGGAGGTTATAACCTTGGAATCTAGTCGGGATTTTGTTAGATTTCTCACAGGATATGTCATCTTCTCATTTACTTGCCGTGATGGATCCTATAGTAAGTGGATGGATGCAAATGCCAACGTCTGACTTGGCGGGTAAAATTCTCCGGGAAGTCCACCGGTGGGGTAATTGACTTTGTCCACTTTTGTTCGAACGGCTGCCTCAGGCCTCTGTTTTACAGTTCAATGCGGCTCTACAATTTCCCATGGGTCTACAAGTTCCAACCTTGGAAAAGCCTTTAAGCTTATTTTTCCAACCTTCATGACTTCCAGTTGTTCTTTGTTTATTGGATTTCTTTCTCTTTGCATTGTTTTCTTTGGCTTCATAGTCTTTGCATAGTCTTCATTGCATTGAGAGTTTTCTTTGAACTCCAAGCCGTCTCGACTCTCTCAACTATATAAAAGCCAACACTGGCCACCATTAAATTCCGTGAGAAGGACATACTATACCCAGATGTAATAGTCACCGAGCGTCTTTACATACTCTTCTATTATTTCATCTTATTCTCATCTTATCCAGCCCTTTAACCATTTTCACAAAGCAAAATGGCCGACAATTACCCTCTGTGGGAAAAGAAGGGACGAAGCCTACAGAAATGGATCGAGAACTACCGTGCAGCGGGTTGCCCGTACCCTATTTCCACTTTCAATCTGAAGCCCAGGCACCCGGACTATACCGTCGATCGCACATCTGTGCATCTAGACGCAAAATTATTGACCGCCCTTAACATGAGCAACGCGAATTCCACCTATCAAAGCATTAGCATTAGGCAGCGCGACGAAGGTCCGCCAGTGTGGTGGATTGGGCGCACTGGACCAGGTGTGATCTTTATTGACGATATCTTTAGGTCCAAGAGAAGCGACGATCCATATATATCCGAGTTCACCAAGGCAGCCTACAAACTGGATTTCCCCCTGGATAGTCTGAGGAATGTATTTATTCCCAATGTAAACGAAGTGAACACCATTTCGTGTATCAGAAAGGTGTACAAATCCCGCGAAGGACTTCGTTATCCATCTAGCACACAGCAGACTTGGGAGCCGTCCTCGTCTGAGTTCAATGCTCTGCTAGGGACTGGAATCGGCAAAACCATTGCAGCATTCGTTCTGTGTGCATGGGGCCAAGGGAGAAAGAGAATTGCGAGAATTGTTACTTTCCACATTGGTGCCGACGTTCACAAGCTGTATATGCGGTTCGATCTGGATGATATGTGAGAATTTCTTCCTTGCTTTCGTTGGCCATGTGATCGTTTTGAATGTTTACCTTGAGGTGAGTAGGTAGAATAAATTGTCTGCGAAAGTTTCTTCAATCGCATTTATATCTAGGAATTGGCAATTGGCGATTTTGACCTAATAAATTTCTGACAAGGCGTGATTTTTACAGCAGCGCTTCAGAAATATAGAAAAAGGTGCAGATATCTGAGTCGGATATCATGATATCATGATCATAAACAAAACAATAGTATGTAAACACATGGAGACCGCAGCCTCAAATGCCGTAAATGACCATATTTCCAGCACATACAACGAAAATCCCAATATGGTACCCATCGCTGCGATTGCAAAATTGTTCTGGTTTCATCCACTCAAGGAAATATCCCAATCCGTATCTCATTAAGGCATGTGATCTTCATAAAATCATCAAAAACACCTTGCGTAAAAGAAAAAGGAAAGCCGATCGTATAAAATCAAATCAAACGACATAAGGCGCGGGTCTGCTGCGACTGGAGCTGCGATGACGCGAGTGCGAACCAGAGCCATGACCACGACGACTGGAATGACTGCGTCTCCGAACAGTCGTCTCCTTAACAACAACCGGGCGATGCGAGTGGTACAAAAACAGCGCAAGCAGCGCAGTCCAGAAGAAGAATATCGTCTCCATGATACCAAGTGCGAAGCAAGCCTTCAGCATAGCGCAGGTCTTGTTGACGTCCAGCGACAGCGGATTATTTGTACTCTGGCCATAGGACCCGAATGGACCCAGAGAGATCCAGACGGAGCCGCCATGCCAGCTGGCACAGTTGGCGTTGGTGATAAATCGGAGCTCGTAGACAGCTGCAATGAAGGCGCCGACGAAGAGCAGGTCCATGAACGCGACGAAGATTGCGGATCGCTTTGTTGTTGAGAAGCGGATTAGCGTGTCGATGGCCCAGAAGACGGCGATTACGCTGACGATGAAGAGGACCAGGATATACGGTGGGGTCAGCAGGTTTGCTTTCAGATAGCCGTTAACGAAGTAGGCCTATATTCAGAGACATCATTAGCGGGAGACTCGGAGGGGTATTGCTGATCGGACTGGTTAACAGTGGACATACCAGCATGCCAATGATTGGAATCAGGAAGACGATCTCAACCAGGCGATTGAATATGAAGAACACGCTGCCAATCATCTTGACGGTTTAAAGAGAGATTGGGTTTCAGATCTTTGGAATGTGCAACTGTCCCGACGTGCTTGGGGTATGTCCGAGGCGCCGTAACAAGATCGTGGGGCTACACGAGCTCGCGAAAAAAAGCACAGGCAGTTGCGATTACAGTGCAGGATGCACGATTTAGAAGACGCAGAAGGATACAGAAGAGAAAGTAAAAAGGAAAAGGAAAATAGACAGAATAAAGAGGAAATCACAAAAAGATATTCAGCGTCATCTTGGGCCGAGGAGGCTGGGCGATTCACAACGCACGATGTCGGTGGCTGGGGTATCCCGAGTCCTCCATGATGGGTCTCGGCATTTTTGATATATTGATTAGTCTAGGAACCTGCATGAGCAGTCACTTTTGATCCACGCCTTGCATTTGATTACTCCGTATCCCTCGGGATGATAGGTTAGGGCATGAGAATATAGATGATCGTTGTCAAGCCAACCACATAAGTGGAGACTCTACGGGGAACTACTGGACTGGACTTCATTGCACTTGGAAATTGCATAGAACTATTTCTGTTTGAAGAGATAGAGGACTTTTGTTAAATTCATGCTTGGTCTCGGCAACAAATGCAGGTTCTTTGTTTCCAGTGCCAACACGCTCATAATAATCTTAGTACAGAGTTGTATCACCGGCCACCGCAATAATCCATGGCTTCATCAAATCATAAGCAAATAACTTCGGCAATTACCGCTCTGAACTAGACTGCAAATCAATGACCCCGTCATTCATGTTTACATGGGAATGTTCGTCAACGGACGCCCCGGACCCGCCATCGCGTCAGGGACATGGATTCCCGCATTAGCCGTCAGCGGCTGTGTCTGCGACACATATGCATTACTGGGGTCATATTGATGCGCATTATGGCCGGGACCGGGATTCTGCCCCATTGTATGACCATGTCGCATTTCATACCCGCTGCTAAGGTCGTCCTCACTCGACGACCAAGCACCGCCGTCAAGATCAAGGTCGTGTGGTCGGCGATTGTAAACATTCGATGGATACGGGTTGGAGGCATGAATATAGGTAGAGGTGTCGGGTCGGGTATGTTCCGATCTGGGGATATCTGGCGGGTCCATGCGCTCTTCTTCGGGGTTGCGGAGAGCAGTCGAGCTATCGTGCCTGAAGCCCTTGAGTCGAACTGTCTCCGGTCCTGAAGGTTCGGTCCCCCAGGTTCGGATTGGGTAGGCGCGGCCCTTGCGCCAGGGTTCGGTGAGCGGTGGGAAATACTGGCGATATGCGACAAAGCCGCAGACGATCCCAAGCATCGACCCCGTAATCACATCGAAGGGGTGGTGACGCGCGTCCATGATACGCGACACGGCCACCAGGGTTGCAGCCAGTAGAGGAGCCATGATGACAAGGGCTTTCCAGGCCTCACCGCGATTGTCCATAACGTGCAACTTCCCACCTAGCCAGAGCGATGTGTAGACGAGACCGGCGAAGGAGGCTATTGATCGGACTGTGTTAGTAATAGGAAAGACTAGGCGAATCGCAAAAGGTATACACACAACTACTGTGGCCTGGATGAATTAAGGTTAGCACGTGCGACCCTGAAAAGCAGTATTGGGTCATATCGCATACCAGATGGCCAAGACCGAAATCCGTCTGTTAACAATGCGGGATCACCGGTACAAATCGTTGAGTTGGACAATCCTGGGAAAAGGTCTTTGCTACCAGCGCGTGGTTGACAACGATCAATAAGATCAGGTCTCGGTTTGCCGCATGCGTTCTTCAGCGCCTGTGTAATGACGAACGCGAGTCCCTGAGCCAGCAACAGACCCAAAATACCACAATTGAGCTCCCAAAGTCTGTCCTTCCAGCGATGCGGACCTCTTAGCTTCCGCTTCCCAGACGCCGCGTCATGTGGCTTATGGTGCGAAAACAAGCCATCGATGAACAAGGTGTAGAGGATGATGAGAACGAGTGGGAAAGCACCGGAGATGCAGAGGGCGTAAGGCATGGGAATGCGTTCATGTACGGCGTAAGGATATTGGATGGAGATGTTGGTGAGGGAGAAGTGTTGGTGGAAGGGCTCGATCGTGTTGAGAATCGCGAAGCCGGCAACGCAGGCACTGTTTCCATGGTTAGTACGGAGTAAAGAGAGGAATTGATGCACGTACATAATGATCACATAGTCAAAGATGTAGCTGAGGAATTGTTAGTTGGATTTGCGGGGAGACCTGGGGAAAGTCGACATACGAGATAACAACACGCGGTCGCAGCCGCCGCTTGGAGAAGGGGAGTTTTGCGGGGATTTCCATGTTGACTCCAAGACTTCCCCAAGAAATTCGAAAATTGGAGAAGATCAGAAGATCAGAGGATCAAAAGGCCTGGGAGAAAATAAACATATCTGCCTAGTCCAGGGCATTGCTTGGCATCGGCATGAATAGCACCTGGCGGCTTTTGTTCTGATTGGCTGTCGCAAAGTGGCTGAGCTTGTGGGACCTCAGGGCGGGCTCTGTACACTTCGATATCCACTTGGGCGAGGACATTAGTACCTAGTACGGGTGCTGCTATTTCAGTTCAACATACAGTTAACAGCCTAAATTATCATCCCAGTTCGATATGGGGTAGTGGTTAACCTAGCGGATTTTCAGTATCTGACCTCCGCGGCCCCGGGTTCGATTCCCGGTATCGAAGTTCTTTTTTTTCTTTCTAGTACGGACTATGCGTGAAAGATGTACTTTTTGTTGCCCAGCCGACAAATAGGTCCACACATACATATTCTCTGTGGGAATCTACTTGAAAAACGGAAGGGGTGAATTCATATACTAATACACAAGCTGAAGGGACGTCGACGCTATGTGCATGCGTCTAACTTTCAACATCAACCAGAAATGGCTATGTTTTCAAATTCACCAAATAGACGGTTAGCTTTTGAGAAAGACTACTTCCGTATAGACACAGGACCATCAAAATCCGAAAACGAGAAGAGAAAAATATCAACTACATATCGACGTGAAAGAGGCGTCAATGGAAGTTTACAAGGCATAAGAAATGGCCCTAGGAATCACATGTCCATAGTCGTAAACAGCCAAATTGCACAGATTCCGCATTTAGCAAGTGGTGATGAACAGGCCGAGACTGAAAGTGCTGTTAGCTGATATACAGGCAAAAGGGAAAGCGATGAGAAAACTTACGGAGAGGGGTTCCAGTCCTCGAAGAAGTTGAAGTCGGTGCTACCAGCATTCTTCATCTCATAGGTAACAGACTGGCCAGCCGGGCAAGAGAAGGTAGAGATAACGTATGAGTTGCCCGGGGAGACAGTGATAGTACCGAGGTCCTGGGACACTGAGGGCACGTTATTAAAGGAGGTTGAGGAATCGGCAGGGGAAGAGAGCTGAGCGAAGTCGATCCTGCCATCCCTATTAAAGGTGTAAGACGAAGTCTCAAGCTGGTCAAGCCTAGGGAAAAGGAACACGAGGCTGCAGGTCTTCCCAGAGTCGGAATTTGGGATGTCGAAGTTGAATACGGTCGAGGTGGTCGAGGTCACGCTACCGTTAAGCCCAGTTCCAACAGGGGTATCAGGCGAGGACGAGTCGACAGGAACAATAAGGTGAGGAATCTCATAGTTGCCCGAGAGGGTAGTGGGACAAGCACCACCGGAGGTCCCAGTGGGCGAGGTGGTAGGAGAGGTAGGGCTAGCGGAGCCAGTGGGATGAGGGGCACCACCGGAGGTAGCGGGGACGGAAGCTGACCCAGTGGGACGTGGGCTACCAGTGGGGGGAGGCCCGGTAGCAGAGCCACCAGGGTGCGAACCACCACCACCTCCGCCACCGCCGGGGGAAGTTGCACTAGGAGAGGTCCCAGGCTGCGAACTACCGCCAGTGTGAGCAGGTACGGTAGCCGAGCCACCAGGGTGCGATCCACCACCGCCAGTGGGAGCAGGCACGGTAGCAGAGCCGCCAGGATGTGAGCCACCACCGCCGCCACCGCCGGGGGAGGGTGCACTAGGAGAGGCACCAGGCTGCGATTGACCACCGCCAGTAGGAGCGGGTGCGGTAGCGGAGCCACCAGGGTGTGATCCACCGCCGCCGGGGAAAGGAGGCACACTAACAGAGATACCTCCACCGCCTCCGCCTCCGCCCCCGCCGCCAGGGGAAGGTGCACTAGGAGAGGCGCCAGGCTGCGATTCACCACCACCGCCGCCGCCGCCGGGAGAGGGATGTGTTACTGTAACAGTAATAGGGGGCTGCGGCCCGGCACCACCACCGCCGACGCCGGGAGCAGGCTGTGTCACTGTAACAGTAACAGAGGGCTGCAGCCCGGCACCACCACCACCACCACCACCAGGAGCTCCTGGAGCACCGGAGGTAGGGCAGCTGCAGTCAGTGACAGTGACCGTGGTCGTGGCAGTGTGAGAACCGGGACCAGGAGCAGGGCCAGGCGCAGGACCAGGGGCGGGACCGGGACCAGCGCCACCACCTCCAGGGCCACCACCACCAGGGCCAGCAGGACCAGGAGCAGGGCCAGGAGCAGGACCAGGACCAGCGCCACCCCCTCCAGGGCCACCACCACCAGGGCCAGCAGGACCAGGAGCAGGACCAGGAGCAGGACCAGGAGCAGGACCAGGGGCGGGACCAGGAGCAGGGCCAGGGGCGGGACCAGGACCAGCGCCACCACCTCCAGGGCCACCACCACCAGGGCCAGCAGGACCAGGAGCAGGACCAGGAGCAGGGCCAGGAGCAGGGCCAGGAGCAGGGCCAGGAGCAGGGCCAGGAGCAGGGCCGGGAGCAGGGCCGGGAGCAGGACTGGGAGCAGGACCAGGACCAGCGCCACCGCCTCCAGGGCCAGCGGGACCAGGAGCAGGAGCAGGACCGGGACCAGGACCGGGAGCAGGGCCAGGAGCAGGACCGGGAGCAGGGCCAGGAGCAGGACCGGGAGCAGGACCAGGACCAGCGCCACCTCCTCCAGGGCCAGCGGGACCAGGCGCAGGACTAGGACTAGGAGCTGGGCTAGAACCAAGACCAGGACCACCAGTGCCCGAGCAGGAGTCGGCAGACATCTGCACATTCACACACCCAGTGACATCCATCTTGTTAGGGGTAGTGTAGACATTCAGACCAGCGTTCTCGCCCGTAGCACATGCAATGAAGTCAGGGCTGTTATGGTACTCGAGTTTACCCTGGGAGTTGACAGAGAAACCGGGTGTAGCAGTCACACCCTCATCACACTGGAGTTGAGTAGTGGGAGCTGTCATATCATCAGATGTATATCCTTAAGTAGTTGATATATAGGGCATTGATTAATTCACTTACGAGTGAGGATGCACCCACGGCCGCTGGAGTCAGTAATGCCGCCATTGACGTCGATGCAGTACTGTGCGGGTTGCAGATTACTATCGCCAATACGGTTCTGGCCATCACCTAGCTGGCCAAGTGTACCGGAGGCACCGCCGGAGGAAGTAAGGTGAAAGCAGCAGCTATCAGCGCGGCCAACGAGGGCGTTAGAGCCCGCAGCAAAGGCAGCGACGGCAATGATGTTCCTCATGGTTGCTGTTCAGCGAATATGAATAGGCTGATCAGCTAGTGAATGAACACGGCACCCCTTCTTAAGAAGATCGCGAGGAATTGAACGACCTGACAATATATACCGGTAGAGTTGTGCAGGTGGCTTGAGTTGAGGGAGCAAGGTTTTGGGGAGAGTGCATCTTTATAGGCAACAGTGGGGGTTACGAATCAAACAGAATATAACATCAGGGCACACATGGCCGGCAAAAGTCCCCGAGATAAAAACACAGAGAAGTTGCATGTTGTCAGCCATTCATGCCAATGACCGTGGGGAAGAACTCCGATGGACCAGTACCCTGGTTTCGGAGAGTAGACAATAGTAGGGTCCGAACCAGCCGGAGCGAGATGCGTAGGAACATCCACAAACGTCATGTTGAACAGAGACCCAATTGATTGAGGTGTAAAGAAATAGAGTATGAGGATATGCTTGTTTCTCCACTTAAAAGCAGGACCTGAAGACATGGACAATGGTCACTGGCCGGGTATGAGAGGGATGTAGACTTACTGTTTTGCTAACGCCCAGGCAACCCGATTGAAAGTGGCAATATGAATCTTCTCATAGATGACTGCTAATTTGAGTGCTTCAAGAGGCTCAAGCCATTCAATTGAGTTCCATTGTTGTTATTAGGCAGTCAAGAGTATATTCGTCATGATACTCATCTCATGCTCTAATTTCTGATCCAGTAGCTAGTAATATCGTACATATAGACAGTTATATGATCCTAGTATTGCACCGAGCTTCTCCAAAACAAGAAATAATAATCATTTGATAGGGCTAGTCGTCATTGACAACTGCGGATCTTTGTGCCATACATATAGAATATAGTACATTGCATCCTTCAGGTCATAGAGTTGAGGTAAAATTGTGATACATATAAAGGATGGCTGCTATGTTGTACAAAATCTGGACTTGTGTAGCAAAGTATAGAGGCACTATTACAGCATCAATCAATTCATTCATAAGTATGATGAAAGACGAAAATCGAATAGAAGACACCGAGAGATTGGATCGGATTGTCCACGGGTGTCATCATTAAACAATATGGAAGTGGACCCCCGAATTGGACCCGACCAACAACGCCCTACTATTTTTATATCATTCAACCATGGCACATTTATATACAGTCTGATTTTGGAATTATTAGCCGCCTTATAGCATTCGCACTGCTCTACACATATTTTATACGACTGAGTCTTTTCCGCAGTGAAGGTGTATCATAGTCCACAGCGACGCATGTCTCTACTGTCTCTATTAATCGCATATCCGACGAGGCCTCCAATCTAGGATTCCTGAATCGTGTCACATCATATAATGGGTATTGATGCTACCACCCCCCTTAGGATAATACCACCCCCCTTTGGATGATACCACCCCCTGCCTGAAAGTTCAGTACCGCCTTCCTAACTTGGCTGAGCACCTGCCTCGACACTTGTTTCTGCCTACCGCTCTCCTTACCGCCTCTTCATTTGTACACCGCTTTTGTATTCAATTGCATATAACATATGTTGTACATGGGGCAAGATATGAATGTGTTCAGGAACCAGGCGAAATCACTCCCCATGCAACCCGATCAATCGATCGCGAAGCTGCATCGCTGCCGCAGAATCGGTTGTCTTAGATTTAATATCATGACATAGATTTGGGATGTCGGACAAGGTTAAGATTGACATGGCGGATTTACAATACAAAGCAAGCCACTGCTTTCATTGACCTCATCTTGTTATTATACACCGTAGCGCACGGAATATGTTTCTGATCGCCTCCACTCGTTAATATTGTACATATGCCGGCCAACTTTAAACCGACGGGACGTGTAGATCTCAATGTGGGAGTGACTGGATAGCTAAGTGGGGCTTAATGAACTAGAATATTGTACAAATGACGAGTCTTCGTGCGTCATAATGTCACGGATTTCAAATCCCAGTGCCGAGACCTGTCGATAATTACCACTAATGCTACATAGACAGAAATGCAGTATCCGACTCGGCAAATAAGCTGTTCCAGTCTACAGTCCCTGAGTCCACATTTTCATCGAAAACCTGCCAGAGGTCATCTAGAGTAGGCAATGCGGGGTCCATTAGAAGCTCATCGAAGCTTCTGCCTGTTGGATATGCTGTGCTTGTAGGTGCTGGAGAGGCACAGACAAGGCCCGAAGAAGCCCCAGGGCCTTGAGCGGTGGATTGAGTTATTGTGTTTTCTTCAACAGCCGAGCCCGAAGCACTGTGCCGACGGAGAGCCGTTTTAAGGGATTTAAGCAGCCTTCCTGCAAAAGGGAGTTCCTCTTTAGCCCTTTCTAGAATTGAAAATGCTTCCAAAATTTCCGTTTCCTGTTCCTGCAGGTGATCACTCCCAGAAAAGTCTATGAGGAGAACAATGATCGCCACATAGACGGAATATAGTAAGCCTGGAAGTCTTAGCCGCATTGTTGTAAAGGGGACCACCTCTAGTGAGAGTTGGCGTTCGGTACGAATCACCATTCGAGCTGCTTCCAGGCATGCTCTCCGTGAGTAATTGTATGTAGGATCTTTAGACGCTCGCGACAAATAAGGCAAGTGAAGCCTGTATCTTTGGGCATGAAGCAGAAAATTGATGATGTATCGTTGTATGATTATTCTGGGAGATCTCCGAGGATCGGTGTTTGGAAGCTCGTCCGACCGATAGTCTAACGAAAAGAACGAGGGTAGACTCTCTGCGAATTCACAAATCTTGCCATCAATCTGTTTCGTGTGCTCATAGTCCGGGCTTCCCGGATCTGAAATTCCAAACGGAGCACAATCTGTGATTTCGCGGCAAAATTCGCCTAATCGAATCCGTTGGAGACAGTACGATATCGATGTTGGGTCGGTGAGTGGCTTTCCAACTCCGACCATCCCGTCCACAATATCTTCATCATTCGCATTGCAAGGTTTGTTGGTCATCATGTGGCGTGGATCAATTGAATATGTGCCCTTTTGCGAACCAGATAGTTGCGACATCTGCCTATTATCTGTGAACTCGCATTCTTGGAAGAATAAGAGGGGGAGGAGGAATACTCACCAATCAGTCGCCACGAGATACCACCACACTCTTCTACATATCTCTGCTTTCGCAGAGGATGGCGAAGGCATATCTAGATGGGAATTGTATGGATGATCGATCCGATGCAAGGAAAGTTCTCTTCCAAACGAGATGGCAGTGGAAACCATATGTCGAGCTTGGGGGGTAATCCCCACGATATTAGCAGTCACAAATATGAGAATGATCATCGCTTGGATATCCTCTATGGATTCGAAGTGTTTGTAACGCGAGTAATCGACCATCTCCGACGCAAGTCTTATCCACTGTGTAGACTGCGCAAGTGCTTCTTCAACGGTCGAAAATATGGAGTTGCACATGTCGCGTTCAGCCCAGAGCGACGTGGTACTGGCGAGAATGCCGAGGAGCAACGAAATGTACCCAATCTTGACTGGCTTGCTTTCTCTTAGATTACAATAGAGTTCCTCTACCATGGTACGCACTGAGGGGATATGAACTACATGATGGAGGAAAGTGATCTCTGTGATGTACTTTTCCACTATTATCTTCGTTTCGTCGTAAAGTGGCAGCCAGATATATCTTTTAATGGGTTGAGCTTGATGTACGATTGGTTCAGATCCCACTGTATTACGGATGGGGCAAGTTCTGAATTCAATCTCATACTTGAAAATATTACCCTGTACACTCTTGTCAGTCGATTTCCCATGATTTTAATTTGATCAAGGCCGGCCTACCAGTGAGCCTAACGATGATATCTCGCCTTCAAGCCAATTTACCGCCGATGTGGATGACTGGCTTTCATGAATCATGGATGATTGATTCGATTTTGGGGTAGGAGGAGAATGGAGTGACGAAGCCTGGGTAGTATCTTGTGCCATGGGACTAGATGCTGGTCCATTGGTGATCACTATCTCTTCCAACCTCCGCAAGCGGGCCAGTATATCTGCATGATCATTGCTAGGCAATTTATCTGTCTGATTCTGAGAACTGGCAGGCAATGCTGTAGTGGGATAGAGCTGACAAGTCTTGCCCCGACTAGTGCAGTTGGAGCAAGGGAATTGCCGGCTACACTTGAGCTTCCTTGATCGACAGAAGTGGCAAGATACCGGTCGCGAGCGTGAAGATTTAAAACGCTGTTTCTCGACTCGATGCATATTGCTCCGAATATTGTTGAGGCAGTGTTTGTTGAGTTCTAGATGTGGCGAGATGCCATTACGGAGTCGACCAATCAAAGGCCGGTGAATCCGCGGAAGTTCCGTGCCTCCGCGGATTTCTTACTATGGGAACTATGTGTGAGACACGAGGTATATAAGAGCCTCTTTATACTAGAAAATCCATATTAACTCATCAGCCTTCTGTTCCTTCTATAACATAGAATCTTCTTATCTCATTTGTGTCAATATGGACTCCATCATTGCTCAGATCCGAGTTCTTGCCCAAACCACCGATGAAGCTGGTCGGTTGGACATGATTCAGTCCCTCACACGATTGAAAATTGAGCTTCAATCTCCAAAAGATGTCATAATGGAACTGGCAGTACCGGTTGGTGGGCACACAATACAATTTGGGGATACCGGAAGTGCTGACAGTTGTAGGGATCGACGAGTGCGATGCTCCGAATTTGTGCAGATCTGGGACTCCTTCGCTCTCTCGCGAGAAGTGATGCACCCTTGACTGTCACGCAAATTGCGGAGCTGACTGGAGCGTCTCCTCTATTACTAGGTAATGTTATCTGAGACGACCGTACTTACTTCGAATTCTAAAACAATTGTTCTGTTCAGAGAGGATTCTTCGGTACCTAGCCGTAACAGACATGATTCAAGAGACGGGGGTCAATGAATATACTGCAAATAAGGTCACCCATGTCTTGGCTGATCCTAAGGGCGAGGCCATGATATACCACGGGTAAGCTACATAGTCGCCTCCATCTAGCAAACATCCCTGCTTACCAGCCTCCTTATTAGATACGACACGATGGGACCTGTGTTGTAAGCAATGCCTGCATTCTTCGCTGAAAACAACTATCAAGATGTCACCGACAATACGAACACTCTGTTCCAGAAAGCCCATAACACGAAACTCACCTCGTTCGAGTGGCTTATCCAGCAGCCAAAGCAGTTCGAGTACCTGCAAAAGATCATAACTGCACTTCAAGGATCAGAATGGACCGATGGGTTCAAACTTCTTGACGATGAAGCCCGCAAGATTCTATCCAAGGTTTCGCCCACTGACCCACAGCCTTCGGAGAAACCCTTCTTCGTCGACGTTGGTGGCGGCCATGGCCACCAATGCATTGAGCTTGGAAAGAAGTATCCCAACCTCCTAGGCTACCTTGTTCTCTAGGACTTGCCAGCGGCAGTGCAGAATCTCGCCCCCATTGACGGCGTCAAGGCCGAGGCTTATGACTTTTTCCAACCGCAGCCCATCATTGGTTTGTCTCCATCTATCCATTGGATAATATCAAGCTGACTTTCCCTTTAATTCAGGCGCCAAGTTCTACTACCTCCGCAGAATCATGCATGATTGGCCCGATGACAAAGCCGCAAGCATCCTGCGCAATATTCGCGCTGCCATGGGCCCCGACTCGCGGGTGTTGATCGATGAAGCCGTGTTGCCGGATACTGGCGCTAACTGGAAATCGGCCATGGCCGATCTTGCCATGATGACCTTTGCTGGTAAAGAGCGGACCAAGCATCAGTGGGAGTCACTTGCAGAAAGTGCGGGCTTGCGTGTGGAACAGATTCATACTTATGTTGCTTCAACTCATACCGCTCTTCTCGTTTTGGCCGCCCAGTGAGACAGACATGGCCTGAGCGGAAATTTGGACTTATCTAGCAAATTATTTTATCACTCTCCTCTCTTCATTTATGTCCTATTATTACTCCGAACGTAAACCTTTTTGAGATTGATGAATTCCTGCGGTGCGGTTGGTAGGGTTGTGTCTTATTCCAAGCCGTGATGATCACCTGTCGGCAGACAGGGAGTGTCTTGGCGGCACAATATGAAATGAAAAAGATCGAGGATGAGGCTATGCAGTATCGCCAGAATATCGAGTCGACGAAGGAATCTTGGTGTGATATTGACGAACCGACGGGAACGCGTAGAGGCAGGCCTTGACTTCGCTGAAGAGCTTGAGCAGACGAAGAACTCACCTTGGGCTGATTCGACATTCGCACGATTTGGTGGTCTGTGACGCGGTTATGGATGTGTGGATGGGTATTTAAGATGAGGCGTGGCGGATTGAACACGCCTAAGAACTGGTAAATATAAGTCAAGTGCATTATATGATCTCCATTTCCCACATATATTGGATGCTGTAGATACATTGATAGCAAGGACCCGGCATATATTTATAGAGCAATATTCTTTGTTAGCCACCTAAATTCAAAACGCCTTGCTAGCCGAGTAGATAACACAAAATGGTAAAGTCGCTGGGGGAGGAAGAGGACAAAATATAATGAGTGAAAGAGAGGACTAGAGCCTCCGAGACTAATGCGGATACAGGTCGTGAATCATGTGCGTGCCGAGCGATATATTATGGGTTCTTGATAGGGTCCACTCAATGGCTGCTTTCAGAGGTGGTCGAATCATGGAGTATGGGTGGTGGACCACGGGTGGTAGTCGTACGGGTGGTAGTCGCCGATTCTGCTGACACCATTCGGATTCCCGGCGTCCGCTCTGTCGGCGTTGGAGGTTCATCATTGTTGGTACTTTGGAATTGCGACTGAGTCGGCGTCACCGGAGAGGCAGTCACGGGATTGGGCACATCGATGTGGATCGAAGACGAGCGGTCGATAGGTGGGAGCTGTTGCGGTTGTTCAGTCTGCTCCACAACAGGACTTTGATATGCAGGGGCGTCACCCCAGTCCAAGTACTCGTAATCGGGAGGCGGAGGGATGTTGAGCATCCCCAGATCTCCATCGTCGGGTTGTGTTCCTAGTCGGCCCGAGTCGTGTGTCGTGGTCGGAGCCAGGGTTAGTCGTTCAAGCTCAGTAGAATTCTGCGATTCGCTGATCGACGAAGAAACGGATTGGCCTCGGCCGGATGGTTCGAAGGATTGCGCGGAGTCACTTTGCAATAGCGGTCGGCTGTCCGAATCGTTCATGTCAGAATTGTGCGAGTCAGCTCGAAGTCGTGATCCATCGTGGCGAACACGTCCAAGTTCAGCATAGCTAACGCTGGCGATGCGTCGGTCCCGCTCCCTCTGATTCTCGGTCAGGACCGTGGATACGTCGACTGCACTGTTGGTTCCTGCACGGCGACGTTCCGTCCGAGCTCGAGTCTCAGCATTGAGCTGCTCAAGGCGAGCAAAATCCCCACGCGACCGGGCTTCTCGTCGCTCCCGACGGCGCGTTTCGCGATCGGCTAGTTCCTGACGGCGCTGCAGGCGTATCTGGTACATCGACTCCATCTGTTCCTCCCGGCGAGTTTCCTGTTCCTCTGCAGTCTCCGGGTATTCCACGACCATATCCATCCCACCACGTTCACCCTCTCGGGCGATAACTTGTTCGGTCGGCTTCGGGCTTTGGGAATAAGGTGGGAGGGTCATAATCGAACGGATCGAGGTATCGCGGCGGACGCCATCAGTGGTCTGCATCTCTGGTGCTGCAGCCGCTCCACGATAAGAGGTATTTTGGCCAGTTCTTTGATTCGGGACCTGGCCGTATGATGCACTTCCTGGGCCCCATTTTTTCCATTTCTGCTTGAGGTATTTTCCGGGAAGGTATTTCGGTTCGTAGTGATGTTGTCGCATATAACGGAACAGGAAGTAGACGCCCACACAGACCGCGACTGCAAATATGACGGTCACGCAACACTAAGAGAACAAGGTCAGCGTTAGGGGAAGAGGTCGGAAGGGTCGGAAATGACATACAATAATAACTATGTTGTTCTTATTCGAGTCATTTTGACGTTTTTGTGGAATGTACATAATTGTTGGACAGGCAACTGAGCCTAGAGATTCTTAATGGAAGGCATAGAACAAAATCCCCGGATTTCAAAAGAGTCGAAGAATGAGAAAAAAAGACAAAGCGCGTCAGCCTCGGAGGGTCTCAGAGGTGGCTGGCTATTATTATACGCCAAGCAATGAAACGTTGGCGTGGCCCTGGTGTGGAGGCTGGACAACTTCGGCCTGTCCTGAAATCAAATTCTTCTTTGTAATTTACAACATACAGAGTGGCGATGCAGTTCTCTGCACTTCTCGAGCATTATTACGAATTCATATCCTGGCCCTAATCCTTGTTTTGACTCGTTTCCCCGGCGATCATTCTGCGGCAGATCCCTAGCCGTTTTAGCCTGGGATCCTTTATCATCTTGAATTATTTATTGACTTGGATCTCAATATTGACTTTCGATCGTGGGAGAGGAACTGCACGAGTCCCTTGGGTGCAAGGGAAGACCTTATACAAAAATAGATACGCCCCTTGGGTTCGGAAGCAACCGGTATGAGATCGTGCTGAGCATCATATCTCGATCGCGAATCGTCAATCTTCCACCGTTAGGGTTCATTAGGGCCTGCTAATCCCCGAACAATGAGAACCACCTCGCTAACCTCGGCCTAGATCGTGAGATGCGAATTAGGGGAGTATTATGATCGAGACATTGCTCCTAGCTCTTCGTGCCCTTTCTGAAACACCCCCTTCATAGGTCGGTCATCTCCACTACCTGTTATCCACAGGCTCCCATTGGCCTGTAGATCTATGAATTGGTCGTGAATCCAAGGAACGCACCTAACCTTCCAGTGCCACGAGAATTGCCGTCCCAAATTTATCCGGTGGTTCATCTATTTTGGGAACACTGATATGGACGACAGCGGATGGCTTCAGTGTGCCATATTTCTGCGTTGCTTTGCCCCATCGCGGTTGATGTTCATTATGGTCCGTGCCACAAAGGAATCATGATAGTGTCCTCGGATTATCATGTTGTGTTGCTTGGTCCAGACCATGACGTGGTGCTCAAAGTATAAGATCAGCAACGACATTGTCCGGTAATATTGTAATGCTCCAATCGACGGGCTGCTCAACACTTATTGGTCGGCTATCATATTTCCCTCGATATCTCTGGTGGCTGTACTATGTGCTTGCAGCGGCCAGTGAGGCGCAGTAAATGGCAGATAGGCTACAGCCCTGGAGGGAGGTGAGAATCTTGGCGAATCTTCACCTAAGAAGCTTAAGTCTTTAGTCCCGGTGTCACTTCCTTATCGTCATTTTGAAATAGCCGTTGTTCCTTCAGTGTTACATATAACAGAGATAATTCGGGACATCCCATGATCAATGGAAGAGCCGTCTTATTCTCACAGTGCTAAGGTGTGGAAAACGATTGCTAGGCCCTAACTTTGGCTCTGACTTCATAGCTGCAGAATTTGGAACGCCCATTGTTGACACTAATGACTCTCCGTCGACTATAGTTAATTCATGCTATTACTGCAAAATGTAGCTGTCCCCTTGGCAAACATTGCAAACATCGAATCATCTCGCTTAACTATCTAGCAAACAATCTATCTAATGCAAACTAGCAAACATGTAAACAGAAGCATGTGATGGCGATCCATGTGGATCGTGACACTAGTGATCTGGATGGCCTATGGCAACCCAGATAGTTGTTGCAAAGCGAAACGACTGATTCTAACTTCTAATGCTACGCAAAGTGTGACTGTAGAAGCTTTTGGGGAAGATAGCATTCTCTAGCTACGGACTTGGGGCATGCTCGAGAGGCCCACGTGACCGTATAGTCACAGTCTAGCCAAATTAGGCCTAGTCTATATCTATTCTGCCAAAGTTAGTCAATGACATTTCACCGCATCGAAACCCATGGCCATAGGGGTTGAGGCCGATTTAGGCTTCTCTTGGTCTCCATCTGAATCGTGTTCGATGGCGAATGTTCTGCTATATAAGCGCAGCGTGAAAGTCTTTGGAGACTGGGGAGTGTAACTCCCATCTGGAATATTGAGTAATCACAGAGATGTTTTACCATGTTTTGGAATTTCTTTTTCAGGTTGTTTACAGATGTGAGCCCAGGGGATGCTCTTGAAAACTCCTCGTTCGATTTTTCCCAGACTCTAATACCCTCGCTTAAGTCAAAACCACACCTTGAGAAACCTGTTTACTACGAGGCTAGCTTTCTTTCCTTCTCACTAGAAGACTGGATACAAATTTCACACGCCCACCACGGCCTCTCAAAACTTGATGAATTTATCTTGTTTTTGTAGGAGAAAAGGCCACAGATTAGTCTCGTTTTGCTAATATCTCACGGGCTCCACGATATATTACAAGACGTGGCTGAGCGCAATGCAGGAACTGTTGAATGAGAGCATCAAGAGATATATGAAGTATTACACCTTTATAGTTGCCTCTGACCTACACTATAATGCCTTAGTCCTAGATAATCGGGTGAGTAGAGCTCTCCTTCTGAATGAGATAGGCGAGGAAAACGCCAGGAAGGACATCCTCCAGACTCTCCTTGGCGGACTCCACTGCGGATATACTGGGATTGCTGAGCCACTGGACCAACTTCAACCTAGTCATAAAAAAACAAAAAGTGGGTAGCCGGATGTTAACAAGACTACAGCCTCAAGATAGCACTCGATTTTCTGACACTTGATCGGTGTTTTGATAGCGCTCGGGCTGAGTTAAACCTTAAATGATGGAGAGGATCAAGATTTGACTATATGATTGGTGGAAGGTGTATAAGAAGAAAGACCCTCCGATGCTTGCTGCTGCCAGAGGTTTCCTAGCAATCCTAGCGTACGAAGTGTCAGTTGAGAGACTATTCAATACAGGAAGAGATGTGCTTGGTCTA